AAATCATTAAAAACACTAATAAATTGTTATGCTAGCCTATACTCGTAATGAGATGAAAGTTATGGAAAGAGTCAAGCTTCATTTTGGTACCAACCGGAACTTGATATCTTGCACACAAGAAAACTAATGGCCATTTGAAGTCAGAGCCACGTTACATGTTAAAAGTATTAAATTTCTAAAATCATTAAAAACACTATTAAATTTTTATGCTAGCCTATACTCGTAATGAGATGAAAGTTATGGAAAGAGTCAAGCTTCATTTTGGTACCAACCGGAACTTGATATCTTGCACACAAGAAAACTAATGGCCATTTGAAGTCAAAGCCAGGTTACATGTTGAAAATATCAAATTTTTAAAATCATAAAAAACACTATTAAATTTTTATGCTAGCCTATACTCGTAATGAGATGAAAGTTAAAGAAAGAGTCAAGCTTCATTTTGGTACCAACCGGAAGTTGATATCTTGCACACAAGAAAACTTATGGCCATTTGAAGTCAGAGCCACGTTACATGTTGAAAGTATTAAATTTCTAAAATCATTAAAAACACTATTAAATTTTTATGCTAGCCTATACTCGTAATAAGATGAAAGTTAAAGAAAGAGTCAAGCTTCATTTTGGTACCAACCGGAACTTGATATCTTGCACACAAGAAAACTAATGGCCATTTGAAGTCAGAGCCACGTTACATGTTGAAAGTATCAAATTTTTAAAATCATAAAAAACACTATTAAATTTTTATGCTAGCCTATACTCGTAATGAGATGAAAGTTAAAGAAAGAGTCAAGCTTCATTTTGGTACCAACCGGAAGTTGATATCTTGCACACAAGAAAACTTATGGCCATTTGAAGTCAGAGCCACGTTACATGTTGAAAGTATTAAATTTCTAAAATCATTAAAAACACTATTAAATTTTTATGCTAGCCTATACTCGTAATAAGATGAAAGTTAAAGAAAGAGTCAAGCTTCATTTTGGTACCAACCGGAAGTTGATATCTTGCACACAAGAAAACTTATGGCCATTTGAAGTCAGAGCCACGTTACATGTTGAAAGTATTAAATTTCTAAAATCATTAAAAACACTATTAAATTTTTATGCTAGCCTATACTCGTAATGAGATGAAAGTTATGGAAAGAGTCAAGCTTCATTTTGGTACCAACCGGAACTTGATATCTTGCACACAAGAAAACTTATGGCCATTTGAAGTCAGAGCCACGTTACATGTTGAAAGTATTAAATTTCTAAAATCATTAAAAACACTATTAAATTTTTATGCTAGCCTATACTCGTAATGAGATGAAAGTTATGGAAAGAGTCAAGCTTCATTTTGGTACCAACCGGAAGTTGATATCTTGCACACAAGAAAACTTATGGCCATTTGAAGTCAGACCCAGGTTACATGTTGAAAATATCAAATTTTTAAAATCATAAAAAACACTATATTATTATGCTAGCCTATACTCGTAATTAGATAAAAGTTCGGGAAAGAGTCAAGCTTCATTTTGGTACCAACCGGAACTTGATATCTTGCACACAAGAAAACTAATGGCCATTTGAAGTCAAAGCCAGGTTACATGTTGAAAGTATCAAATTTTTAAAATCATAAAAAACACTATTAAATTTTTATGCTAGCCTATACTCGTAATGAGATGCAAGTTAAGGAAAGAGTCAAGCTTTATTTTGGTACCAACTGGAAGTTGATATCTTGCACACAAGAAAACTTATGGCCATTTGAAGTCAGAGCCACGTCACATGTTGAAAGTATTAAATTTCTAAAATCATTAAAAACACTAATAAATTGTTATGCTAGCCTATACTCGTAATGAGATGAAAGTTATGGAAAGAGTCAAGCTTCATTTTGGTACCAACCGAAACTTGATATCTTGCATACAAGAAAACTTATGGTCATTTGAAGTCAGACCCAGGTTACATGTTGAAATTATCAAATTTTTAAAATCATAAAAAACACTATATTATTATGCTAGCCTATACTCGTAATTAGATAAAAGTTCGGGAAAGAGTCAAGCTTCATTTTGGTACCAACCGGAACTTGATATCTTGCACACAAGAAAACTAATGGCCATTTGAAGTCAGAGCCACGTTACATGTTGAAAGTATCAAATTTTTAAAATCATAAAAAACACTATTAAATTTTTATGCTAGCCTATACTCGTAATGAGATGAAAGTTAAGGAAAGAGTCAAGCTTTATTTTGGTACCAACTGGAAGTTGATATCTTGCACACAAGAAAACTTATGGCCATTTGAAGTCAGAGCCACGTTACATGTTGAAAGTATTAAATTTCTAAAATCATTAAAAACACTAATAAATTGTTATGCTAGCCTATACTCGTAATGAGATGAAAGTTATGGAAAGAGTCAAGCTTCATTTTGGTACCAACCTGAACTTGATATCTTGCACACAAGAAAACTAATGGCCATTTGAAGTCAGAGCCACGTTACATGTTAAAAGTATTAAATTTCTAAAATCATTAAAAACACTATTAAATTTTTATGCTAGCCTATACTCGTAATGAGATGAAAGTTATGGAAAGAGTCAAGCTTCATTTTGGTACCAACCGGAACTTGATATCTTGCACACAAGAAAACTAATGGCCATTTGAAGTCAAAGCCAGGTTACATGTTGAAAATATCAAATTTTTAAAATCATAAAAAACACTATTAAATTTTTATGCTAGCCTATACTCGTAATGAGATGCAAGTTAAGGAAAGAGTCAAGCTTTATTTTGGTACCAACTGGAAGTTGATATCTTGCACACAAGAAAACTTATGGCCATTTGAAGTCAGAGCCACGTCACATGTTGAAAGTATTAAATTTCTAAAATCATTAAAAACACTAATAAATTGTTATGCTAGCCTATACTCGTAATGAGATGAAAGTTATGGAAAGAGTCAAGCTTCATTTTGGTACCAACCGAAACTTGATATCTTGCATACAAGAAAACTTATGGTCATTTGAAGTCAGACCCAGGTTACATGTTGAAAATATCAAATTTTTAAAATCATAAAAAACACTATATTATTATGCTAGCCTATACTCGTAATTAGATAAAAGTTCGGGAAAGAGTCAAGCTTCATTTTGGTACCAACCGGAACTTGATATCTTGCACACAAGAAAACTAATGGCCATTTGAAGTCAGAGCCACGTTACATGTTAAAAGTATTAAATTTCTAAAATCATTAAAAACACTATTAAATTTTTATGCTAGCCTATACTCGTAATGAGATGAAAGTTATGGAAAGAGTCAAGCTTCATTTTGGTACCAACCTGAACTTGATATCTTGCACACAAGAAAACTAATGGCCATTTGAAGTCAGAGCCACGTTACATGTTAAAAGTATTAAATTTCTAAAATCATTAAAAACACTATTAAATTTTTATGCTAGCCTATACTCGTAATGAGATGAAAGTTATGGAAAGAGTCAAGCTTCATTTTGGTACCAACCGGAACTTGATATCTTGCACACAAGAAAACTAATGGCCATTTGAAGTCAAAGCCAGGTTACATGTTGAAAATATCAAATTTTTAAAATCATAAAAAACACTATTAAATTTTTATGCTAGCCTATACTCGTAATGAGATGAAAGTTAAAGAAAGAGTCAAGCTTCATTTTGGTACCAACCGGAAGTTGATATCTTGCACACAAGAAAACTTATGGCCATTTGAAGTCAGAGCCACGTTACATGTTGAAAGTATTAAATTTCTAAAATCATAAAAAACACTATTAAATTTTTATCCTAGCCTATACTCGTAATGAGATGAAAGTTAAAGAAAGAGTCAAGCTTCATTTTGGTACCAACCGGAAGTTGATATCTTGCACACAAGAAAACTTATGGCCATTTGAAGTCAGAGCCACGTTACATGTTGAAAGTATTAAATTTCTAAAATCATTAAAAACACTATTAAATTTTTATGCTAGCCTATACTCGTAATGAGATGAAAGTTATGGAAAGAGTCAAGCTTCATTTTGGTACCAACCGGAACTTGATATCTTGCACACAAGAAAACTAATGGCCATTTGAAGTCAAAGCCAGGTTACATGTTGAAAATATCAAATTTTTAAAATCATAAAAAACACTATTAAATTTTTATGCTAGCCTATACTCGTAATTAGATGAAAGTTTGGGAAAGAGTCAAGCTTCATTTTGGTACCAACCGGAACTTGATATCTTACATACAAGAAAACTTGTGGTCATTTGAATTCAGAGCCAGGTTACATGTTGAAAATATCAAAATTTCTAAAATCATAAGAAACACTATTAAATTTTTATGCTAGCCTATACTCGTAATAAGATGAAAGTTAAGGAAAGAGTCAAGCTTTATTTTGGTACCAACTGAAACTTGATATCTTGGATACAAGAAAACTTATGGTTATTTGAAGTTAGACCCAGGTTACATGTTGAGAATATCAAATTTCTAAAATCATAAAAAACATTCTGAAATTTTTATCCTAGCTGATACTCATAATGAGATGAAAGTTAGGGAAAGAGTCAAGCTTCATTTTGGTACCAACCGGAACTTAATATCTTGCATGCTTAGAAAGTTATGGCCATTTGAAGTCAGAGCCGGAACGATCTTCTGCCTGCGCAGGCAGGAAGTCTGCAGAGGTCTGAATGCTCCTTAATTGATTAAAAATGGGAACATTTTCTGACTGATCTTAATATATAATGATACGATAAAAAAATGTTATACGCATTTAATTTTTGAAAATTTTTTTTATTAAAATACATATAGTAATAACAATAACAGTATAGAGAAAATGTTTTTTTCCTTCTTTTCTAATCTTTTGGTATGTATTTTTAGAAAAATTTTATAAAAACTTGGTTTTGCACTTGAAGCACTATTTACTTTTAATACTACTCGACATTTTTTTTATAATGAAAATAAAGTTAAATAATAATTTGATGAAATTTAATAAATAAAATTTTATATTACTCTTTTAATGTTTTGTATAATTTTTGGCTCATTAATACATATTTACACGACACGTCGTAAAAGAGTGAAGAACGAAAAAGCTGACGACAATATCTGAGATAATATACAACAATATATACATTATTAATTTACAATATTTACAATATTTATAATATATTTACAATATAAAATAATGGATTAGTGTTAATTATTAACTTGTAAATAAAATATTTTAGAATTATAATGGTGCTTTCATACAGTAAGAATTTATACCAAAAGAAATATAAAAAATAAATATTCTAAAATGGGGTACCGCTCCACTGAAAGTAATGGATAAAATATTGTTTCTGCTTTCTAATTACAGTGCGAAAGGAGTTTATAAGGCAACTGCTTACTGATGTGAAAGCCTGCAGGGACATGTAAGCAAACTTTCCGGACGATAAATACGCCGCTCTCTGCGATCGAAAGGTAATAATTTCTATCAGTTTTCTTTCTTTTTTCGTCCAACCGTACCAGGGTGAATCATAGGCACTTAATCCGATATTCATACTCTGCAATAAAAGTATACAGATTCATCTCTGTTTCAAACTAAGGCTCTGTCCATACTCTTTTCTAAGCCATTGTGGACATAGCCTAAATATTATACTCTTTTATAACCCATTGTGTACATAGCCTAAATCTTATGTGATCGCGAATGTTTTTTGCAAACCTATTGTGCTTAGGTTAATACGTGACATGTGAGAGCACCTTTAGAATTCACGTGAATTCTATGGGGTCGTTCACAACCACGTAGTCATTCGATGTTTGGGGTTTTAATCTGTTTACCACGTAGTTTATGAAAGACCCCTAATTAGGAAAAGAAAGATTCGGCCTAATTATACTTATTACTTCAAGAAGTAGACAATTCGGAGGCCAACAGAAAATCAGAAGTTGAAAAATACCCCCAATCAAGTGAACAGCATAGGTTGCGGTATTATGTCCTCCCTAAATCGAAAAATAGTGCTTTGAATGTCACTATGAATAGTACAAATACCAAAAAATCGGGACGCATGATTATTCCCCAAATGTCATTTTTCCGAAATGTCATTTTACCGAACTGCACTTTTGCGAATAGTCATTTTTGCGAAAAGCCATTTTTGCGAAATGTCATGTTTACGAATAGTAATTTTTGCGAAAAGCCATTTTTGCGAATAGTAATTTTTGCGAATTGTCATTTTTGCGAATCGCCATTTTTACGAATTGTCACTTTTGCGAATTGACATTTTTACGAATCGCCATTTTTACGAATTGTCACTTTTGCGAATCGATATTTTTACGAAATGTCATTTTTGCGAATAGCCATTTTTGCGAAAAGTAATTTTTACGAATTGTCGTTTTTGCGAATTGTCATTTTTGCGAAAAGCTATTTTTGCGAATTGTCATTTTTGCGAAATTTCATTTTTGAGAAATGTCATTTATGCGAATTGTCACTTTTGCGAATCGCCATTTTTACGAATTGTCACTTTTCCGAAAAGTCATTTTGGCGAATTGTCATTTTTGCGAAAAATACAATAGTAAACTTGTAGGTATATATAGATTCACTATTGTATTTTTCGCAAAAATGACAATTCGCAAAAATGACTTTTCGGAAAAGTGACAATTCGTAAAAATGGCGATTCGCAAAAGTGACAATTCGCATAAATGACATTTCTCAAAAATGATATTTCGCAAAAATGACAATTCGCAAAAATAGCTTTTCGCAAAATTGACAATTCGCAAAAACAACAATTCGTAAAAATTACTTTTCGCAAAAATGGCTATTCGCAAAAATGACATTTCGTAAAAATGTGATTCGCAAAAGTGACAATTCGTAAAAATGTCGATTCGTAAAAATGTCAATTCGCAAAAGTGACAATTCGTAAAAATAGCGATTCGCAAAAATGACAATTCGCAAAAATTACTATTCGCAAAAATGGCTTTTCGCAAAAATTACTATTCGTAAAAATGACATTTCGCAAAAATGGCTTTTCGCAAAAATGAGTATTCGCAAAAGTGCAGTTCGGTAAAATGACATTTCGGAAAAATGACATTTGGGGAATAATCATGCGTCCCCAAAAAATCGTATAGTAAATTTGACAGATTACATCAACCATTAGAAAATTGAAGCCAAATCCACAGATGGCGGTTATACTCAAAATAGTCTGCAAAAGTACGACTGAACTAAAGACATCTTCCACTGCTGATGAATAGCTAAAGTTTAGAAATAATCGAAAACAGTATTAGAAGTAAATACTACATCAGCTCGGTAGAAAGAGACAAGTAGTTTCTATTGTCCCCTCTTCTTTCCTTGTCTAATTATTGGTAACTCTCTGCATTCGTCAGCAGTGTGAAACAGGCTTAAACCTTGTGATAGTAAGTGAACAAGGGGCACTAGCGCCCCTGGGAACCCCTGTTTGACTGCGCAGGCGTTATTAGACAAGGAAAGAAGAGGGGACGGTAGAACTATTCTACTACTCTCAATAAATCCTTACTTCAATACTTGTTGATGCAACTTTATAACTCTCACTATATCCTCAAAAGTTTCATCATCATTTTTCAAACAATTCCTACTATTAATGGGTTTTAATTTCGATATTTGGTATTGTAACAACTTAAAATGAGCGCATGCGTGAAAGACAAAGAATGCAACAGCCGTATCAATTCCAATAATCGGAATAATACTTATCACACCGGCTGGTATTTGCAGCATATACCAAATATTAAAAATTCTAACGTCCTCGTAATGTATTCCACTTGAATATGGTAATTGCTTGCTGATTATTATCGTTCCGTTTGTGTCGTAAACAAATTCGGAAAACAATGGTTGTACCAGTAGACCAAGTAGGGCAAAAAATACGTTTACAGAAAAACCATTAGTTAGGTACAATGCGACGGTAGCATAGCCCATTACTACTTCCGCTTCCTCTTTGTCTTTTACGTTTCCCCACAAGTCATTCAGATGGTTTATCAATTTAACGAGTTTTTTTCTTTTTGGAATTAGCAACATTACTAGAATTTGAAAATATGATGATTGGGGTGTGGTCACAGGTTGCTATGGCAACGTACAAGAGTGAGAGAGATAGACGATTCGTCTATCTCTCTCACTCTTGTACGTTACCATAACGACTAGTTATGCTTCGTTCATACGTATGCGTCACTAGAACGAGAGAAAGAAGAGGGGACGGTACGCACACTCTCTGTCTCTTTCTATCGACTTTACGCTTCTATTTATTGTCCATTAACCCCTTAACTGCGGTGGCCAAACAATAAATATATTAATTAAAACACACCTTGAAAAGCAACCACTAAAATTTCGATCAAATCACAAAAAATACTCAAAAGTTCCGTGGCATCAATGACTTTTAAATGAGATATCATTATATAGAATCCGGGAAGAGTCAAAAATAGACAGGTACAAATAGGCAAAATCATAAATACAGCATTGACCACAAAGCCCCATGATAGAAATGGTAAAACACCGCCAAACTGGAGGAAAAATTTGTTAATACGAAAATATTTGTTAAAATTACGATTGTACATTATAATAATACTACTTTGAGGGAATATTCTTCTAGACTACTTTACTATATACTTTATTCACTTTTAGTGAATTTTTCTTTCACTGAATAAAAAATTCTACTGCTTGGAAAAATAAGAATTAAACTCGAGAGCTTTCTGGGGGGGAAAGTAAATTTATATTTAATTAGATGCAAAAATAATTGCCGAAGGGAATTTTTTTTTGCCTTTTCCTGGTCACAGTATATACTCTCTGCGTCCTTAATTATTAAGCGTTGCTACAATATCGTCGGCGTAGCTATAGAATTTTTTTGTATGTTCCGAATCGAATATGCAATTCTATATCTAAAAGAAAAATGTATAATTTCTAGGATACGATCTAATAATGAATATTTATCGAAGAGGCATACTTTGAAGTGAACGTTTGGCTGTGAGATGAAATTTTACTTCTGCTAAAGGAATAAAATTAAAAGAAAGCCAAAAATCGAACATCGGATTCTAAACAAAGAAGCCAGAGGTGGATGAAACGCTGATGTTTGTACGCTTTTATTTTATTTAATTTTTTTCTGCACTGGGACTTTTGGGAAATCTTACAGATACTTTGGATTCCGCACTCTAAGATTATGGAGACAGAAAGGAAGTACAACAACAAAGAAAGAAGTAAAAAAAAGTGAGATCTAAGATGGTTCACCTATATTCGGCAAGGGTCCTGGTGGCATGTGGACTAACCATAAAATTCCATTAGTAAGACAAGAATCGAGATATGTCTGTCCTTTTCTTACTAATGTGTCTATTGCTTAGTCCACATGCCACCGGGGCCATTTTTTGGAAATTATGACCTCTGCCTCTCTAGAGACTATGTGGTTTATGGATGTCCTATTAGTTAGAAAAGGATAAACGTATCTCCATCCTTTTTTAACCAATGGGATTTTATGATTAGTCCACATGCCACCAGGACCCCTACCGGATCTAGATGAATTATCTTAGGTGCGATCAGAAAAAATAGAGGTATGTAGAAGCGTAAGCTACAAATTCCGTTTGCCTTGAAGTTGCTCCTAATGAATTTACTGTCACGTAATCACGACGTTTTTATATTATATTTAAAAACATTTTGTAAAAGTTGAAAATAACTGAATCCTTTGTTCCTTTGAAATCTAAGACTATATTGTTCCAAATGTTTGCACGAATCAAAAGTTAGCGGATGTGATTACCATAATGATCATATACAATCGTAAAATTTTTACTACCCCCTTGTGTGATGTCAATTCCCTTTACAAGGGAATAGCATAAAAGGAGGCACCCTTGCCGAATTTGCCAGTCCAGAAATCGCCACCAAGTTAAGAAGTCACCCTCAAATCAGAAACCCGCGATCTTCGTATCAGTCCAGAATCCGCGACCAAGTTAATAAGTTGTATATTGTCGTCGAGTTTATTCTTCGTCTCCAAGTCCAAAAATCTCTTCAAGTACCAAGTGTATTCTTCAAGTCTCGTCTAAGTCAAGTTCAATCAACGAGATAATTTCTACTGCGAGAAACATCTCTATTTTTCCGAGGACTGCATTATTTCGACTTCAACGTCAAATCAATAATTTGACACCTGGACTCCGGACCTTTCACTGTGGCTGGCCCGAAAACATTTCAAGGAAAATCTATTGCCTTCTCTGTCTACGCTAGACGACGTCACTTCTTCGACCACACACTGTACGAAATATCGCCTGTTTGAGTCTACGTCTCTAATAATAATTTTTATAGTATCCCTGAAGACATGACATTTGGATCTACTCTTTCTCTCTCACTCTAATTGTAAAGGATTCAAATAAAAACTTTAATAATATAACTTTAATTAAACAGTTACTCTTTCTTAAAACCTGTTTCTTGAAATCAGAGTATCACTCTGTGAATAAATCAGGTATTGGATCACCGATGTCGGACAAATTAAAAAAATAAATTAATGTTATGTTTAGTTTCATTTCTGATACATAACATTACTCTTGACTCCATTGTTTAGGATCAACTTCAAGGCAAACGGCATTTTTGAGATTAAACTGTAAATTTTTGTTTTCAATTCTTTGCTCTTCTTTGGGAACCTTACTTCATTAAGTAGATTATTCGGTGGCCAACAGAAAATAAGAAGTTGAAAAACCCCACCAGTGAAATGAAGAGCATAGGTCGCAGTATTTTGTCCTCCCTGAATAAAACAATTAGAACAAAATTACTTAGTGACTAGCATAGAATTGTGCAGGAATGCCTTCCTCGGACGAACGTCTCCCGCTCATGGAAGGCATTCCTGCGCAACACTGTAAAGTACGATTTCGTAGTCACTGTTTGTAAATGTTTGGGTACATTACGTCAATCATCAGAAAAGTAAAACCAAATCCACAAATAGCTGAGATACTCAAAATAGTTTGTACCAGAACGACTGAATTAAAGACGTCTTCCACTGCTGATGAATAACTACCGTCGGAAAATAAATTAAAACATTACAAGTTTTGTTAGGTTACTGAAATCTAACTTAAGCTCTATGAAATAACATGGAAGCGTTTAAAGGCACGATTTATAACCATAGACTAGGATAATTCACCTAGATCCGGCATGCGTCCTAGTGACATGTGGACTGACTATAAAGAATCCCATTAGTAAGACAAGGATAGACGTATCTTCGTCCTTTTCTTACTAATGGGACTTTATGCTCAGTCCACACGCCACCGGGGGACGCATCTGCTATCCGAAGTAAAAACCTAGTAACCGCATTGAGCCATTCAAAAGAAAATAAATTAAGCTCTGCTTACGGTTAATGCGGTTACTAAGTTTTTAATTTGAACAGCAGTTTAGCCTCCTTTATTCTTACATCTTTATTTCTATAATCGGACCAATCACAAAATTATTTAGACTCTTACTTCAAAACACTTTGATGTTGCTTCACAATTTCCACTATTTCACCAAAAGTACTATTATCCGAATTAAAATTCCTCATATGCCCTCCATTAATGGGTTTTAAATTCGACAGTCGAAATTGTACTAATTTGAAGTGGGCGCATGCGTGAAAAACAAAGAAAGCAACAGCTGTATCAATTCCAATAATTGTGAGAATACTTATCACACCGGCTGGAATTTGAAGAGCATACCAAATATAAAAAGTTGTAACCTTTTCGTGAAATGTTCCAGTGGAATATGGCAGTTCCTTGCTGACTATCATTGTTCCATTTGTGTCGTAAATGAATTCGGCAAACAATGGTTGTACTAATAGACCTAGTAGAGCTAAGAAGACATTAATAGCGAAACCGTAAGTAAGGTACAATGCTATTTTGGCATAACCCTTCACTACTTCACCCTCGGCCTTGTCTTTTACATTCTCCCATAAATCATTGCAGAGGCTGACTAAATTTATGAATTTTCTTCTCTTTGGCAAAAGTACTAACACTAGAATCAAAAGTTAGTTACAAAAATAGTAAAAAAGTAATTTTAAAACGCTATTCTTTCTTTTGGTTAAATGTTTTACTGTTTGGGTTATGTAAGGCTGTGTCCAAAATAGGATCTTTGTGTCCCTTATGTTGAACGTAAAATTAAAAGAGATTTTTGTTATGGTCAACGTAGGGGCATAAAGAATTTGTTGTGGACACAGCCTAAAAAGCGTCGCGAAGAAAAGGCCTTAAGAAGCAGGCGCATGCGTCTCTAGAGGGGACGTTATGTACACTCTGTCTTTTTCTAACGACCTGACGCTTCTTTTATCTTTAAGGCTTATACAGATCCGCGTCCTTTACTGTTTTAATTCTTTACGATACAGAAAACATTAAAAATTACTTTTCCTTTTAGAAAATTAAAAAAGAATTCTTTATTCTTTTATTAACCCTAAAACTTTTTTTGCTTCTTAGGCCCCTTTTTTGCCACACGTCACAGTATTTAGTTTTCGAGAATCCAATTTAGTTTCCAATACCTTTAAAAACAACAACTAAAATTTCAATCAGATTACAAAAGATATTCAAAACTTTCGTGGTGGGCATCAGTTTTAAACGAGTTATAATTATATAGAAACCGGGAATTGTCAAGAATAAACTGCCAAAAATCGGCATTATTATAAAAATACCATTGAACACAAATCCTAAAGAGAAAAATGGTAAAACACCACCGACTTGAAGAAAAAATTTGTTAATCCGAAAGTATTGTAGAAAATTACGATTGTACATTCTAGTTCTGTGGCAATATGTTAACGTTTAGAAGAAACTTAAGTCCGAAAAAAATTGTCTGGGAATATTTTTTGCTGAATGTTTTCTAGAGTACCTTCTACTAAGTATATACACTTTCTCTAGGCACTAATTTATTAAACATCTTTTATTATCTAACCAGAACCGCAGGCTATAGAATTTTTTTTATGGTCATCAACTATTCAGTGGTCAACGTCTTCCTAAAATATAATTTTAGGTGAAACGGATCGAAATCGGTTAAGGGGATATACTCGGAAATTAGTATTTTACTCGGGGGAAATTTCTTCTTAAATGACTTTAGGCACTGGCAACTGTCAGAACAATAGAGGGGAAATTTGACAGCAGTAGTAGCAGTATTTATAGCAGGAAGAATTTGCTTATTTTTCCCGACTGTATAAAGGGGGTTTATTGTTATCATAAGAATGTCGATAATTGTCGGTAAGTGATTCCTGTAATTATTTTCAACTCCGTTACTTTCTTTCTAGGCCAAGTTCTGACAAATGATTCGGATTTTTTATGCAGTTCGGTGGGAGTCTTTTATCCTTTTATTACTTTCAGTAGTGCATGCGGTTCGCCTCAAATTAACTCCGCGTTAATTATGATTTAGATCCAACGGAATATTATCGACGATTGGACCATTGTTAACTCGGAGTCAATGGCGAAAACTAAGGTGATTCCCCTAAAACTTAAGGGGTCACAAGGCCTAGGGGCCTTGTGAAGGGAAAGGGTAAAGAAAAGGTAAGGGTCACCAGAACCACCAAAGGTTCCTCGACCGATAATCCTCCTGGTGGTAAATTCTGGTGGTATGTGGACTAACTAAAAAATCCCATTGGTAGAAAAAGGACAAAGATACGTCTATCCCTTTCTTACTAATGGAATTTTATGCTCAGTCCACATGACATCAGAACTGCTGACCTACTGACTACCAGGCAAGGAAAACCTGAAGTCTAGTCATAATTTTCTTGCAGTTATATTAACACTAATAATTCTTACTGAGGAGAAGGCGTTTAAGGACATGTAGGAGAACTTTCCCGCCGACAAGTACGCAGCCCTTTGAGATCGAAGTGTAATAATTTCGATGAGTTTCCTCTCTCTCTTTGTCCAATTATACCAAGAAGAATCATAAGCACATTGTGCAATGTTCATACTCTGAAAAATGAAACATTTAACAAAGTAGTGAGATCTAAAATAACTCACCTACATCCGGCAAGGGTCTTGGTGGCATGTGAACTAACCATAAAATCTTATTGGTTAGAAAAGGATGGAGATACCTTTATCCTTTTCTAACTAATAGGACATCCATAAACCACATAGTCTTTAGAAGGGCCTTCCCTTCTTTCTTCTTTCCTTCCATTCTTTAGAAGGGAAGGCCCTTCTAAAGACTATGTGGTTTATGGATTTTAGAAGGAACGCCTTTCTAAAGACTGTGTGGTTTATGGATGGCCCTTTACTTTCCAAAAAATGGAGCCACGGAGTTTATGGACAACCCCTAATGGGACTTTTTAGTTAGTCCACATGCCACCAGGTTTCTTGCCGAATTTACGTAAGCGATAAAACGGTATAAATTAAATACGAGAATGCAGTGTGAGTGTCTAAGTTGCAATAAATCTAACGAGAGTGAAGAATTTAGAGAAATGGTTAATTATACTTATGCACGGTACTTCGAGAATTAGATTATTTGGTGGCCAGCAGAAAATAAGTAGTTGAAAAATACAACAAATACAACAGATGACGTAGATTACTGTTTTCTGCCCTCTCTAAATGGATAATTATAAAATTGTATTATTATTATTGTTTTAATAATAAAAAAATGTTAACAAATTAATTGATTAAACATTAACAGTTAAATTCAATATTTACCTAGATGTGGCAAGGGTTCTGGTGTCATGTGAACTGACCATAAGATCCCATTAGTAAGAAAAGGATAGCCGTATCTTCATCCTTTTCTTACTAATGGAATTGGTCCTGGTGGCATGTGGACTAACCATAAAATCCAATTATTAAGAAAATGATAGACGTATCTTCGTCTTTTTCTTAGTAATGGAACTGGACCTGGTGGCATGTGGATTGACCATAAAACCACAATTAGGAAGAAGAAGATGGAAATATGTCTATCCTTTTCTTACTAATGGAATGTTATGGTTAGTCCACATGACACTAGGACTATTGCCGAATCTAGGCAAATTATTATCTTAGGTTATGATAATTGATACATTACAGTGACCATCAAGAGATTAAATCCAAATGCACAGATAGCAGTGATACTCATAACAGTTTGGATAAGTACTACTGAACTAAAGACGTCTTCCACTGCAGCAGCATAACTGAAAGTTTATGATAAGTAGTAGCAATAAGTGGTTTGTATCGGATTGCACTTCCGGTAGGAACATAGATATAGAAGAATAGCGAGGGCTTCAAAAAAGCGTCAAGTGAATAGAAAGAGTCAGCTAGTGTCCTAACGTCCCCTCGTTTGTCTCTTTCTTAACGCATGCGCACTGAGGCGTTTATAGTGTCACCATGCGTTTTTAGCCATGAACTATTAAAACTAGATGGGCAAACCATCTATTGTATAGATTCCAGGGTGTGGTAGGCGCCTCTAGATAGAGAAAGAAGAGGGGACTTACACAAACTCTGACTCTTTCCATCGACCTGACGAAGATTCTTACTTCAAAACTCGTTGATGCTGCTTGACGACTCCCACTATTTGCTTAAAAGTACTTCGTGATTTGCCATCTTCAACACTATGTCCACTATTTTCTGACTTCAATTTAGAAATTTGATATTGTAACAATTTAAAATGGGCACATGCGTGAAAGACAAAGAAGGGTATAGCAGTGGCAATTGCAATAAGTGGCATAATACTTATTAGTCCAGCTGGAATTTGCAGTAGAAACCAAATATTAAAAATTCTAACGTTCTCATGAAATATTCCACTTGAATATGGCAATTGCTTGCTGACTATCATTGTTCCATTTGTGTCGTAGACGAATTGGGAAAATAATGGTTGAATTATTAAACCTATTAGGGCAAAAAAAACATTTATAGCAAAACCATAAGTTAGATAGAGTGCTATTGTTGCATAACCCTTTACTGCTTGTGCTTCTTCTTTCTCTTTTACATTCTCCCATAAATCATTGCAAAGATTCACCATGTTTACGATTTTTCTTCTCTTCGGCACTAGAACTAGAACTAAATAAATACAAGTATGTGAAACTTTAAGATACTGTAAAGCTGTGTTCATATGCTTGCGAATGTTTCTGTCCTTTTCTCTCGCATTATTCGATGAAAAAGGCTGCGTTTGAATGTAGTGTGAACAAGGCCTTAGTATTAAGGTCTTTCTGCAATAGGATCCTAAGGTAACGTCGCAAATACGTTTGCGTTGATTATAGCATTAGGATAGCGAACTATACAATCTATTTGGTCTTATTGCTGACGGGCATTAATTCTAAGGCTATATTCACATGCCTGCGCCTTAACGCTTCCTTTTGTGTAGTACAATGAGTGTGACAAGGATAAAAGTATATGAGAACGCAAGCAGGTGAACACAGCCTAATTCGAATAGGAATAGAAATTGGATTAAAGTATACAGGTAACTGCTTATATGCTGACCTTCCGGTTTTTACATCTTTTTGAAAGCCGCGTCATGTCTATCATACTTTTTAGTTCGTGGTTAAAATAATAAATAAATTTAACCACGATATTTTTGTTAATTTATTTATCATTTTAATTTAAGAAGAAGAAGGGGAAGAAGAAGAAAAAAAAGAAGAGGAAGAAAAAGAAGTAAAAGAAGAAGAAAAAAAGAAGAAGAAGAATTATTTTCGTCACGAACTAAAAATTGTGATAGAGATACGACTCGGTTTTCAAAAATATATACAAACTGAAGAAAGGACAGCATTTAAGCACTTACCTGTACTACATTCTTACCAAAAAAAAAAATGAAATTACCTTGAAACGAAACCACTAACATTTCGATAAGATCACAAAAAGTATCCAACACTTCGATGACGGTCGTAGTTTCCAGACGAGAAAGCATAACGTAGAAACCAGGAAGTGAAAGAAATAAACAAGTGCAAATAGGCATTATAATAAAAATACCATTCACCAAAAATCCACATGATAAAAATGGAAAAACACCAGATAACTGAAGTAAAATTTTGTTAATTTGAAAATATCTGATAAAATTACGATTGTACATAATAGAACTACTACTAAGTCTGTATTATTAATTTTTACTAAATTTTTACAACTTTTTTTCTGCTTTCCGTGAAAGAAAAAGTAAATCTATATATTTCCAGCTTGAATAGTTTTTGTGGAATAATGTTTTTCGTCAGTTTTTTCAGCTTCTCACGAAGAGTACACGATGTTGCTTTGCGGTTAATAAATTATTAATAGCGGAATAATGGTCTATAGAATTTTTTTGCTCATCGAATATTCGCAACTATACGGAACATTGTATTTAAAATATAATTTCTTATGAAATCGACTAAACGGAAATTAGAAAGATAGAATGTTAGACAAAGTGTTTTATATAGACAATGGTAGGCAGTAAACTGAAATGTAATAAAATAACAATACAGTTTTCGTTGCAGCGTTGCAACTGAGGAGAACCCCAAAGAGCAAAGAAATTTTAGGTTATGTTTGTTATCTATTTTACATTATTCATGTATATAAATTTTATTATTTACTGTATATGTACCCCAGTAGCACGTAATATTACAGCAATATTAAGAACACTGCCTCAACATTACCAATATTGCCTCAATGTTGCCAATGTTACTGAAGCATTACGTGCCACTGGGGTAAGAATTTTTTACTAACTTTGATATAGATTTTTAAAAAATTTTATATAAACTTGGTTTCACATTTGAAGCACTTGTTTTAATACTACTAAGACTCTTTTTACAGTTATGAAAATAATGTTAAAAATAATTATATGTAAATTAACATTCAAAATGTTATGTTACTCTTTTAATGTTTTGTATAATTTTCGGCTCATTAATACATATTTACACGACACGTCGTAAAAGAGTGAAGAACGAGAAAGCTGACGACAAAATCTGAGATAATATACAACGATATTATTAATTTACAATACTTACAATATATACAATACTAAATAAAGTATTAATGTAATTATCTTGTAATAAAAAATTTCAGAATTACAATGGTGCCAAAAGTCCTGGTGGCATGTGGACTAACCATAAAAATTCGGTTAGTAAAAAAAAGACGGCGATATGGCTATCCTTTTCTTACTAATGGAATTTTAAGGTTAGTCCACATGTCACCAGAACCTTTGCCGAATCTAGAAATCATAGGCGTAGATAGGTAGGGGCCCGGTCCTACCTAGAAAAACATTTTTCGAAAATTTAACAGTTTTATTAAAACGATAATTCTTACTGAAGAGAAGGCGTGTAACGACATATAGGAGAACTTTCCCGCCGACAAGTACGAAGCCCTTTGAGATCGAAATGTAATAATTTCAATGAGTTTCCTCTCTTTCTTTGTCCAATTATACCAGGGCGAATCATAAGCACTTAGTGCAATGTTCATACTCTGAAAAATGAAAGATTAAAAAAGTAGTGAAGTCTGAGATAATTCACCTAAATCCGACAAGGAGCCTGGTGGCATGTGAACTAACCATAAAATCCCATTGGTTAGAAAAGGATGGAGATACGTCTATCCTTTTCTTACTAATAGGCCATCCATAAACCACATAGTCTTTAGAAGGGCCTTCTCTTCTTTCTTCTTCCCTTCCATTCTTTTGAAGAGAAGACCCTTCTAAAGACTATGTGGTTTATGGATTTTAGAAGGAAGGCCCTTCTAAAGACTGTGTGGTTTATGGATGGCCCTTTAATTTCCAAAAAATGGAGCTACGGAGTTTATGGACAACCCCTAATGGGACGTTTCAGTTAGTCCACATGCCACCAGGGTTCTTGCCGATTTTACGAAATCGGTAAAACGGTATAAATTTAATACGAGAATGCAGTTTGAGTGTCTAAGTTGCAATAAATCTAACGAGAGTGGAGAATTTAGAGAAATGATAATTTATACTTATGCACGGTACTTCGAGAATTAGATTATTTGGTGGCCAGCAGAAAATAAGTAGTTGAAAAATACAACCGATCAAGTTAATGACATAGGTTACTGTTTTCTGTCCTCTCTGAATGGATAATTATAAAAAGGTATTATAATTACTGTGTTAATGATAAAAAAAGTTTACAATCAATTAATAAATTAACTAAATGAATTAATTAATTCAATTAATAATATATTCTCCCTAAATAATTATATCAATTAATAAATTAACTAATACAATTAATAAATTAACTAAATCAATTAATAAATTAACTAATTCAATTAATAAATTAACTAAATCACTTAATAAATGAATTTAATTATTTAATAAATTTCTTGACCGTATTAACAGGTAAATTAATAATTTACCTAGATCCGGCAAGGGTCCTAGTGTCATGTGGACTAACCATAAACTCCCATTAGTTAGAAAAGGATAGACGTATCTTCATCTTTTTCTAACTAATGGTATTAGTCCTGGTGGCATGTGGACTAACCATAAAACCCACATTAGAAAGAAAAGGATGGAGATATGTCTATCCTTTTCTTACTAATGTTGGTTTTATGGTAAGTCCACATACCACTAGGACCATTTTTAGGACATTATGACTTCTTTCTCTCTAAATACTATGTGGTTTATGGACGGCCCCTTAGTAAGAAAAGGATAGACAATATCTCCTTCCTTTTCTTATTAATGGAATTGTTATGGTTAGTCCACATGCCACCAGGACCCTTACCGGATCTAGAAAAATTATTATCTTAGGTTATGAGAATCGATACATTACGGCAACCATCAAAAGTTTAAATCCAAATGCACAGATAGCAGCGATACTTAAAACGGTTTGAATAAGTACCACTGAACTAAAGACGTCTTCCACTGCAGCTGAATAACTAAAAGTTTATAATTAGTAGAAGAATAAACGCGAGGGGTTAAAAAAAGCGTCAAGTGGATAAAAAGAGTCAGCTAGTGTCCTAACGTCCCCTCTTTTGTCTCTGTTTTTAACGCATGCGCACTGTGGCGTTTATAGTGGCGCCATGCGTCTTTAGCCATGAACTATAAAAACTAGATGGGCAAACCATCTATTGTATAGATTCCAGGGTGCGGTAGGCGCCTCTAGATAGAGAAAGAAGAAGGGACGTTACACAAACTCTGACTCTTTCTATCGACCTGACGAAGATTCTTACTTCAAAACACGTTGATGCTGCTTGACGACTCCCACTATTTCCTCAAAAGTACTTCGTGATGTACCATCTTCAACACTATGTCCACTATTTTCTGACTTCAATTTAGAAATTTGATATTGTAACAATTTAAAATGGGCACAGGCGTGAAAAACAAAGAAGGGTATAGCAGTGGCTATGGCAATAACTGGAATAATACTTATTAGTCCAGCTGGAATTTGCAGAATGTACCAAATATTAAAAATTCTAACATTTTCATAAAATATTCCACTTGAGTATGGCAATTGCTTGCTGACTATCATTGTTCCATTTGCGTCATAAACAAATTGGGTAAATAACGGTTGTATCATTAAACCTGTCAGTGCAATAAAAACATTTATAGTAAAGCCATAAGTTAGATAAAGTGCTATTGTCGCATAACCCATTACTGCTTGTGCCTCCTCCTTTTCTTTTACATTCTCCCATAAATCATTGCAAAGATTCACCAAGTTTACGATTTTTCTTCTCTTCGGCAGTAGAACTAAAACTAAGCACAAGTATGCGAAAGTTTATCATACTGTAAAGCTGTGTTCACATGTTTGCGTTCAAACGCAGTGTGAACATTGCCTTATTATTAAAGGCCTGTCTGCAATTGGAGCCTAAGGTAAACATCGCGAGTGCGTTTGCGTTGATTTCCTATTGCAGACAGGGCCTAACCGTAAGGCTCTATTCACAGCCCAATTCAAATTTGGACTAAAATATACAGGGGCCGTATTCTCGAAAGCATTCGACAATTCTCGCATGCGTAAAATGTCGAATGGTTAATGTCGCATGCGACTCTGAAAGTCTATTCTCAATGACCGTTCGAGATAGGTTGTTCGAAAATTTCCGTGTGCGACATTCATACATTGTTGCCGTCGTTTCCAAATACTTATCTGCCAATCATAATTGAGGAGGAAGAGAACTTGACATATGAGAAAAATACAAATAGTTATCCGTTCATTTAAATATTTCAAAATCAATTCAATTTTGCGTTTACAATTTTTATAAACAAATTAACTTTGAGCGGTTTCAGTTTGAAATTTTATAAAATTTTAATTTTGAATGAATTTAATTTAAACTTTTGATAATTCAAATTCTTTTGAAATTAGTTATATTTGGCAATATATATTTAATTAATTATTAAAAATAATGAATTTATAGAAGAATTTTAGTTAAAAACACTAAATACATTGAATTTTGTAGACGTACGTTACAAAATGATTACAAAAATTTAATTATTTTTAAATGTAATAAAATAATGAAAAAATAATAACAATCAAATATTTATTTAAATAGAAGTTACTGATATTATTACGAATAATTTTATAATTAAAGAAATTCGTAAATAAATGTAACAACATTTTTTTTATATTAAAGTTTTAATATTAGCATTTGTAAATTGAGAATTTTTTACAAAAATGTTAAGAAACTGGAATATGTAATATTTTTTTTTTAAAGAAAAGAATCAGTTTGTGAACAATATTGTTATTGAAAAATTAAAATTATGCATAATAAAGGGATATATCCCTTTATATTATGCATAATTTTAATTAATAAATATATATATTTCCTATTTTTGCAAAAAGAAAATTTATTTGTTAATCAAAATTTTTTGTAATTTTATAATTTTAAATTTTATTTTATTTTAAATCTTAAAAAAGAGCATACTTTCAATTTGTGAAACAATATTTTGTAAAGAAAAAAACAAAAGCATACACAAAAACTAACTTTAAAGTGTGAACAGACAGAAAAAATGAAACGAAGATTAAAAAATTAAAAAAAATAAAAAATAAAATAAATATATTGTTAACATGATTCATTCACAAAAATAACACAAACATGTGCAATTTATCCATTATAAATTTTGCATATTATAAATTATTTACATTAAACTTTTATTTCACAAGTTTACTTTTAATTCTTAAACATTACATTTAGGTTATTTTGTATAGTTTTTCTACTTTAGCATGCGGTTCATGTACACTAATACTACTTTATATTATATACGTTTATTACAAGGATGACACACAACCTTATTTTTTACTAGCATTTCGTATACGACTTTGCATCTCGAATGGCCACTACCCACTCGAGATGAACCATTCGGAAATTATCGCATACGACATGAAATCTCGCATGCGACAAGCGTTCGAGAATAGCTTTTTCCATCTCGAATGGTCTGTCGCATGCGACATCTAGGGTCATCGATTCGAGAATACGGCCCCAGGTAACTGCTTATAGTGCTCACGGTTTGTACATCTTTTTGAAAACCGCGTCATATCTATTACAATATTTAGTTCCTGTCTAAAATAATAATTAGATTTACCACAATATCGTCGTTAATTAATTTATCTAGTTGAAGAAATAGAAGAAGAAAAATTATTTTAGCCACGAACTAAAAATTGTGATAGATGCGACTCGGTTTTCAAAAAGATGTACAAACCGTAAGCACTATAAGCAGTTACCTGTTCTATATACTATATCTCTCAATGAAAAAAATATAATGAAATTACCTTGAAATGAAACCACTAAAAATTCGATAAGTTCACAAAAAGTATCCAACATTTCCATGGCGGCCGTAATTTTCAAACGGGAAATCATAACGTAGAAACCGGGAAGTGAAAGAAATAAACAAGTGGAAATAGGCATTACTATAAAAATACCATTCACCAGAAATCCGCATGATAAAAATGGCAGAACACCAGAAAACTGAAGGAGGAGTTTGTTAATTTGGAAATATTTGAGAAAATTACGATTGTACATATTATAAGAATACTATACTGAGAACCTATATTTATTATTATTAATTTTTACTAGATTTATACAAGTTTTTTTCCGCTTTCCGAGAGAAAAAAGTAAATCTATATATTTCCAGCTCTGATAGTTTTTGTGGAATAATTTTTTTTTTGTTCAGTTTTTCAGCTACTGACGAAGAGCATTCGTAGTTCTTTGCGGTTGATAAATTATTAAGCGGAGTAATAGTCTATAGAATTTTTTTGCTCATCGAATATTCGCAACTATACGGGACATTGTATTTTAAATATAATTCCTTATGAAATAGACTAAACGGAAATTAGAAAAATAAAATGTTAGATAAAGTGTAGTCAGTGAAGTAAAAGGTAATAAAATGTTAACACTGAAACGGAAACTTAGTTTCCGTTGCAGTGTTGCCATTTTATTACACATTAGATAGAAAAAGAAAGAGATATATTTGCGTCCATTTCTATCTCACTTTGCGTCTCGCGAAAGGCGTAAGAAAAAAACAGTGTGAATAGTCCTTAAGGTTGTTAAAGCAAAGAGAGCTCTTTAAAAATGGCGGCCAGACAAAAATGTCCATCAGAAGTTATACTTTATTTGAAACGAATTTTTATCGCAATTGAAACATTGATCGTAACTTTAAAAGAATTAGCCGGAATCTTGAATATTTTTACTTTAATCTGCGCCCAAGAAATTAAAGATTTATTAAAATATATAAAATCATAACGTCACTAAAAAAATTAATAGTAGACAACGGTGTCAAATTTTAGCAAACACACTTGTTTTAGACGACTTTTTAAATAATTATTCTTATTAAATGTTTTCAATTTTAAAATTAATGTACTGAAAATCATTGAATTCTTGCAAAATATTTATAAAAGATTTTGAAAATAATTGAATTCATTTCAAAAATTTTATCAACTTTTTTTTCATAATAAATTGAATTCCTTCAAAAATTGTAATTAATATTTTTATTGAAAAATTTGAAAATAATTGAATTTTAAGAAGAATTTCTCTTAACCTTTTTAAATAATCGTGTTCATTATTAATTGTATTCAACAATTTTCCTATTAAATTATATTAAAATTATTCATAGAAAATTGAATTCTTTTAAACAATTTGATAAGAGTTTTTGTTAATAATTACATTTTTTTAAAAAGAATTTCATTAAATTTCGTGAAAATAATGTAATTTTTTGAAAATAATTATAATTGAAAATTTTGAAAATAATTGAAATATATAAAGAATTCTATTAAAAACTTTTGAGAACAATTGAATTATTTAGAAAAAATTTATTACAATTTTTAAAAATAATTGAATCTGTTAGAGAAATTTTATGTGAATTTTTGAAAATAATTGAATATTTTAAATTTTATTAAAATTGTATTGAAAATGATTGAATTCTTGTGAAGAATTTTATTATTGATGAGAATAATGAAATTCTTGCGACAAATTTTATTAAAATTTTTTAAGGGCATTTGAAACTTGATGACGTCACACATGCTTTGCACAAACTGAAACGTCATCAAGGTTCAAATGCCCTTAATATTAACAAAAAAGAATTTTTAATATTTTTTTTTTTATTTAAAATATTTGTCTAATGAAATAGAGTAAAATTATTGCATTTTGAATTTATTAATCTTTTTTTTATTAATTAAATAATAATTCTACTATACAATTGTATAATAATATTTCAATATGAATAATTATAAATATAGCATAAAATGTTTTATTTTTTACACGCAATCAAAAAAATAAAATAAATAAATTCAAAAAGTAAACTAACAAAATCATATTCCGCTTATTTTAAAAATTATATTTTTAATTTAAAGTCTAATATTATAATCCTCTTCAAAACATTCCTTAAAATCCTACATAAAAAAAAATTCAATAGCTTCTCTTTTTTAAAAAAAATAATAACGTTTTTACGTCATCGATTGAAAATTTAAAAAAGAACAGAATGAATGTTTGTATATTTTTGACAAAACAAAAAAATTTTGAAACAAAACAATTTTTCCCCCGTAATCATTAAAAATAGAATTAAAAATTTTTTCTTTGACATTCAATCAATTTAATATAACAAGAATGAATTAAAATATAATTTTGCCTTTGGAATTGCAAAAAATTGAAGATATTTATACAAATCAAAACTAATTTTAACAAGATTTTCTATTATTACTATTTTTTACCAATAATTCGGAGGAAGTTCACCTTTTGGCGGTGGTATTGTTTTCGTAGTGAGACATTGCTTTAAAAATTCCTCCAAACGATCTAGTGGACCGTCATTGATCCCACGTATTTTGCTAATAATCGGATAATAATCAGTTATCATTAATGACAACATTTTTGGAAATTGTTTCGGATACGCCGTCCATAAATAATGACCAGTCACTTCCAAAATAACGACAATTAACGTTGCATAAATATCCGAAAATTGTGTTTGCGGTTCTGTAAAATAAGCAGAGGGGGGAAAATCGTTTAGTTCAATTTGCGATTCGAATTTAATAAAAAATGAACAAACAAACAAAACAAAAGGAAACAAAAAAACCAAAACAAAAAAAAAAGAAAAGAAAAAGAGAAAACAAAGTAAAAAGAGAAAAATAAAATAAAAAAGAGAAAACAAAGTATAAAGAAAAAAATAAAATAAAAAGAAAAAACAAAATAAATAGAGAAAAACAAAATTAAATTAAACAAATAAAATAAAACAAACAAAATAAAAAGAAACAAACAAAATAAAAAGAAACAAACAAAATAAAAAAAACAAACAAATTAAAAAAAATAAACAAAATAAAAAAAACGAACAAAATGAAAAGAAACAAACAAAATAATAAATTATAATTTATAGACGATAATTTTTAATGTTTTTAATTACCGTTATTGAGCATTGCCGCAAGCCACCTCCAAGCGAATTGCAAGCCATGGGGATGATGTTGCGTTACTCCTTGTCTTTGCCTCGTGACGATAATTGACGAATAAAGTCTCATAAGGCCAGTGATGCGTTTCAAAAATTTCAAATGATCCTCAACTGTTCCGTCATCACTGTACTTGTAGCCCAACGATTTATAATATTCCATGTCCGTTTGTCCGGTGAGTCGTGGAAAAAATGTCGGCACGATGAATGGACATTTCACGCGAAAATTCGCCAATAATAATTCACCAAATTCAGGCGATTCATTCCATAATGCGACTGCAATCGCGGCTATCGGGAACGCTGCCTCCGGTTTACTCGACACCACATTCTCCCCTTGACTCTAAACAACAATTCAATTTTTATTTTTAATTTTATCAAATAATAACTATTATTTAATATTTATTATTTAACTTTTTATAACTTTTATTATTTCCGCGCTAGCGCGCGGAACATGATATTACATTTATTATTGTTATGCAAATTACAAAATTTTTTATTTCCAAATATAAACTTTTTAAAATAATCTCATAATCAAAATTTAAAAAATTCACTTATTAAGTACAAAATTAATTATTACTGTATTTTAAAAAAATTTTAAAAATCAAAATCAAAATATTTTTTAATTAAAAGAATTCAATTATTTTCTCAAATTTTAATAAATCGTTCTAAACAATTCAATAATTATTTTTTTAAATAGTAAAATTTTTGCAAAAATTCAATGATTTTCAAAACAATTTTAATTAAATTCCTCGGAAAAATTCAATTTTTTAAAAAAAATTTTAACACATTTCGAAAAAATTCCATTTTTTTCTAAAGTTCTAATAAAATTCTTTTCCATAAATTATTTTTATAAATATTAATTTTTTCGCAAGAATTCAATTAATTTTATAAATAGTAAAATTCTTTGCAGGAATTCAATTATTGAAAAAAAAAATTTTAATTGAATTCCTCGGATGAATTCAAATATTTTTTAATATTTTCATGAATTTCAATTATTTCCCAAAATTTTCAAAAATTCTTCGAAACAATTCAACTATTTTTATAAATACTAAAAATTTTTGCAGAAATTAAATTATTTTTAATAAAATTTTTAATAAAATTACACAAAAGAATTTAATTAGGTATTTTAAAAAATTTCTATAAAATTCAATTTCAACAAGAATTTTGAAATTCTCTAAAAATAATTCAATTATTCTCAAAATATTTTTAAATAATTCTATATAAAAATTAAATTACTTTGAATGCAATTTTTTAATATATTCGTCAAAAAAATTGAAAGAATTCAATTATTTTCAAAAAATAACAAAATTCTTGTGATGAATAAAATTATTTTTAATATACTTAATTTTAATAAAATTCTTTAAAGAATCGAAAAAATTTATTAATTTTAAAAATAATTGAATTTTTGTGATGAATATTGTTATTTATACGAAAATAATTGAATTTTGCAAAGAATTTTATTAAAATGCGTTAAAATAATTAAATTTTCGGGAATAATTTTGTTATTTATCATTAATAATTGAATTCTTTCAAAGAATTATTTATGTAGGTAAATAATTGAATTCTTAGGAGGAATTTTATTAAAATCTAAACGAATAATTGAATTTCAAAAAAAAAATTTAATTAAAATTGCATTTAAAATAATTGATTTCTTTCGAATTTTATTAAAGTATTTGAAAATAATTGAATTCCTGTGAAAAATTCTAATATTTTTAAAAATAATTGAATTTAGCTAAAGTATTTTATTACTTATGAAAATGATTAAATTATTGCGTAGAAATTTACAAAAAATTTGCAAATAATTAAATTAATGTGAAATTTTCATTATTTATGAAAATAATTAAATGTATTCGTAGAATTTTTTTATAATTTTTTTTTTTTTAATAATTGAATTATTTTGGAAAAATTTATTAAAATAATATTGAAATTTATTGAATTCAAAAAACTTTTTGAAAATAATTGAAATTTTGCCAGGAATTTTATTATATTTATGAAAATAATTGAATTCTTGCGAACGATTTTATTAGAATTTCCTAAAAAAATTGAATTTCCAAGAAGAAAATGATTACTTTTAAAAATAATTGAATTCTTGTGATGAATATTGTTATTTATGCGAAAATAATTGAATTTTGCAAAGAATTTTATTAAAATACCGCAAAATAATTGAATTTTCGGAAATACTTTTGTTATTTATCTTTAATAATTGAATTCTCGGAAATAATTTTATTTATCTTTAATAATTGAATTCTCGGAAATAATTTTATTTATCTTTAATAAATTGAATTCTTTCGAAGAATTATTTATGTGAATAATTGAATTCTCAGGACAAATTTTATTAAAATCAAAAAGAATAATTGAACTAATTATTTAAAAAAAAAAAAATTTAATTAAAATTGTATTAAAAATAATTGACTTCTTTCGAACAATTTTATTTAAATATTTGAAAATAATTGAATTCCTGCGTGAAAAATTCGAATATTTTTCTAAATAATTCAATTCTTTCAAAGAATTTTAAACAGTTTTTTAAAATAATTGATTTTTTCGAGATTCTTTTTGGAAATACTATTCAAAATTAATTAAATTCCAGTTGAAATTTTATTATTTGTGAAAATAATTGAATTTTATCAATTTTGTTTGAAATAATCGAATTGTTTTGCGAAATTTGCTGAAAATACTAGATATTAAAAATAATTGAATTTTAATTAATATTAATTAATTATTTAAAAAAATTGAAAAAATGAATAGAATGAAATTTTTCGACTTACGATTATTTGAGTGGCGAGTGTATTTTTAATATAAGCATCAGCTCTTGGATCCGCGGATAAATTACCAGACAATACGAATCTCAGCCTCTCGTATTGATCTCTAAAAAATTCTTTACTCTGCAGTGAAAGAGCATTTATTGGATTTATAATTTTCTTCTGACTCTGCGATCGAAATTGTTTACCCTCATTGCTCTTAATGTAGGTCTCATATTTTTCTTTGCAACTATTCACAAATTCATCGCTCTCGACAAATATTTGCAACGATTCCTTGTCGATAAACTTGTAGAGTTCAATGTCTGCAAAATTTTTTTGTTTCGTTCAATTGAATTAATTGAAAATTAAAAATTAATAATTAAAAATTAAAAATTAATAATTAAAAATTAAAAATTAATAATTAATAATTAAAAATTAATAATTAAAAATTAAAAATTAATATCTCAAGAAAATTTTTATTTTATTAACTTGATCAATTTCTAATTTAAAAAAAATTTAAATTACTTATTTAATTTAGAGAATTATTTACTAGATTCGTTTTCCGTATTAGTTGAAGGGGCTTCTGCTGCTTCTGCTTCAACTGGAACAATTCCCGAGTCTGTGACTTCGACGCCCGGCGATTCGGGAATAATAATATTATTTTGCTGACTTTCCTCTAACTGAATACTTTCCCTCAATTGCAATTGCTCAGCTTCCCTTAATTCCTGTTCTCTTTGCGCGATTCTCGCATCATGCATCGCATTGATTCGTTCTTTAAGAGAAAAAATTAGAAAACGTTAAATTTGATAAAAAAAAATTAAATCAAATTTCATTTAAAATTAAATTTGATAATATTTATAATAATAATAATAATTAATTAATTACTTAATTAATAATTTACTTAATTAATTAAGTCGAATGACAAATTAAAAAGCATTTTTTAAATATTTATATCGGACTTTTATCTATTTTTTTGCTTTTAAATTGGAAAAAATACGAATTTGAAAAAGAAGGATTATCTGATAAGAAAAAAAAGTAAAAATAAGATTACTACTAACTATGTAGGGAATAAAAATTGTAAAAACTGTAAAAAGTATACAATGAAGAATAAATTTAATCTAATCTAAAATCTAAGTAAAAATGAAAAAAAGGAAAATACCAATTTCAATTTTAAAATGACGCAAAACTTCCTCAATATTTTGAACGGTGATTTTTGCGAATTCAAAATCCGTGACTGTCAATCGTCCAGCCTGAAAAATTCAAAATGAGATTAAAAATTAAAAATTGTAATAAAACTGTTGAAAATAATTAAAAAAATATATTTAGAATATTTAGAAAGAAAAAAAATTAGGAGAGAATAGAAAACAATTAAGGTGAAAAAATAAAGAAAAAACAGGGTTGCCACAAATATTTAATTTTATTTTTCCCTGCCTTTTCCCTGATTTCCAGACAAAAATTCTCACTTTTTCCCTGACCCTAAAAAATATTCTGATTCAGTCTAAAAAATTATTCGATACTCAAAAAAATTTTTGTTATAATTTAAATAACCATGAAATTTTTCAAAAAAAATTTAATTATTTACAAAAATCCTAATAAAATCCTACCGAAGAATTCAATTATTTTCAAAAAGCAGTAAATTTTCTCAAAAAAATTCAATTATTTGAAAAAATTAAAATTGTAATAAAATTCGTTGCAATAATTCAATTATTTTCAAAAAGCAGTAAATTTTCTCAAAAAATTCAATTATTTGAAAAAATTAAAATTGTAATAAAATTCGTTGCAATAATTCAATTATTTTCATAAATAATAAATCGATTATTCGATAATTCATTTTTTAATCAATTTTTATTAGAGAATTCTAGAAGAATTCAAATATTTAAATTAAGGAAAAATAATTTATTGAATAATTGAATGTTTGTTAAAATTGAATTCTCATAAAGAATTTTATCAACAAATTTTTAAAACTTCAATTATTTTGACAAATTTTACAGAAATTTTTAAGAATAATTACATTTATCGAGGAATTTAATTAAAATATTGTAACAAAAATTAATTAAAATCCTGCGATGAGTCTTATTGTTTATGAAAATAATTAAAAAATTTTCCAAAAAATATTAAAATTTTTCTAGAATAATTTAACTTCGGTGAAGAATTTTATTATTTCTAAAAATAATTGAATTCTTGAAAAAAAATTTGTTAAATTTTTTCTAAATAATTGAATTTATGCGACGAATTTTATAAAAATCTTTTTAAATGATATTTTTTGGAAAAATTTTATGAAATTTTGTATATTAAATAATTGAACTCGTGTGCAAATTTTATTATTTATGAAAACAGTTGAATTATTTCAAAGAAATTTATTAAAAATTTTATAATTATTGAATTTCTGTGAAATTTTGACGAGAATTTAAGGTCATGTTATTCAGTGGTCACGTGTTCCCATAGTAAAGTATATGGAGCACGTGACCACTAAATAACATGACCTTAAAAAAAATTTTTTTAAATAATTGAATCTTGAAGAATTTTATATTATTTATAAGTTAATTGAAATTTTGACAAGAGTTTTTTTTATATTTTTGAACATAATTGAATTTCTGCGAAGAATTTTATAATTCATAAAAATAAAATTGAATTTCAACGAAGAATTTTATAATTTAAAAAAATAATTGAATTCTTTGTAAAAAAATTTACTATTTACAAAAATAATTCAATTTTAACGAAGAATTTTATAATTTATAAAAATAATTGAATTCTTGCGAAGAATTTTGTTTAGATTTTTAAAAGTAATTGAATTTCGGTGATGAATTTTACTATTTATAAAAATAATTGAATTCTTGAAAAGAACTTTGTTAAATTTTTTTTAAATAATTGAATTCTTGCGACAAATTTTATAAAATTCTTTTTAAATAATTGATATTTTTCGAAAAATTTTATATTAAATAATTGAATTTCTGTAAAAACTTTATTATTTATGAAAATAATTGATTTATTTCGAAGAAATTTATTAAAAATTTGGTAAATTATTGAATTCCTGTGAAATTTTGCCAAAAATTTTATTAAAGTTTTTAAAAGTAATTGAATTTCGAAGAAGAATTGTATTATTTATAAAGATAATTAAAATTTTGACGAGAATTTTTAAAAAATTTTTGAAAATAATTGGATTTTGGAGAGGAATTTTATTATTTTTAAAGATAATTGAAATGACCAGAATTTTTTTAAGTTTTTGAATATAATTGAATTTCTGCGAAAAATTTTATTACTTTTGAAAATGATTGAATTTCTGGAATTATTTGTAACTTTTCCAAAATTCAATTTTTTTTTTAGTATTTTCAACTAAAATTCTTTTATCAATCTAGTATTTATGAAAATTGGAAAAATGATTCATTAAATAATTTATAAGTCATAATTTTATGATAGTTGTTCAAGAATTAAGTTATTTAAAAAGAAATTATTGTCTGAAATAGAAGAAATTCAAAGTTTTGTATTAAAATTCGTGGTAATTTCATACTTTACGAGGCAAACAAAAAAAACATCAAAATTCAGAGTTTTTTCATGAATTTTTAAAATTCAATTTTTTCCAGTACTTTCACTAAAAATCCCTGACTTCCCTGACCTGTGGCAACCCTGAAAAAACAAGAGTGGAGAAAAAAAATATTTTTCCCTCGCAAAAAAAGAAATTCGCTCACCCTTGCTGCACTGCCAATTGTCTCCATATGACTGCGAAATTCGTGAATTTTCTCAATATACGGCTCGATCATGTATTTCTCCTTACAAGTATTTGTCAGTGTTTCAAAATCACGACAATTTTCGTGAAAATTATTTTGTATCAATAACATTTCCTCTTGTTCCTTGGCCTTTTTCCTTTGCTCCTCAGCGTCGCGTTCGAGTTTCTCCTTTTGCTCCTTGATACGTTGCGCCAATAATTGTTGTTCGTGTTTACGTCTCACTTCCGTTTGTTGCGCCTTCATCTCCTCCTCGGCCTCAAAACGTGCGAGTTCATCTTTCCTCTCTTGCTCACGTTGAACCGACAATATCGAATGATAAATTTTAATTTCCTTCCTTGACGCGCTCAGCGAACGTTCCATTTCCTCCATTCGTTTGCGCACCTTTTGCTGATGAATTCAATTTTAAAAAATAATATTTATTAAATTATTCATTAGTTTATTAATAATTAACTACTCGCAAGAATTCCAATATTCTCACATATAAATAATAAAATTCTTTGCAACAATTCAATTATTTTCAATACAATTTTAATTACATTTTTTTTTAAAGAATTCAATTATTGAAAAAAATTTTAATAAAATTCTTGAAATGAATTGAATTATATTGAAATTTTTTGATAAATAATTTGTAAGAATTCAATAATTTTCTGTAAATTTTAAAATTAAAAAAAAAAGAAAAATTATTTCAAAAGTTAGGAAACAAAAAAACTTACTCGAACTTTTTCCTTTCGTTGAAGTTCATTTTCGTAGAGAATTTTCTTGATTGAAAAAGTAATTCCACTTCTTGTTGAAACATGATTTTCTAATGGAGTTTTACTCTTTTCAGTTTCCAAAATATTGCAGGAATTTTGGCTATTTTCCTTTTTCTCCGATTCATTGAGATCGTCGTAGGAAAATGTCGAATTCGGACCAATTGTCACTTGATTCGAATTTCCAAGCGAAACACGTCGCGCTTTTTGCAAAACGGAAATTTTTAACGATTCGAATTCCGAAGAAACGTTCTTTAATTTTGTCTGTAAATAAAATTGTTAGTTTTACTTTTTAATTAATTACATTCGTTAATTTTTAATTTAGTTTAGACAAAATATTACTTTTAATTTAATTTAAGGTAAATAATTATTAATTTTAATTTAATTAAAAATAAATTAGTTTTAACGCTAAAACAAAAACTAATAACAACAAATAGAATGTGATGAAAAAATACTTAACAAAATGAATTATTGTTTAGTAATTATTTAATTTTCTAGAAATAAATTAAAGAAGTTAGTAAATAAGTAGAAAGTTTGAAGAAAAGTATTTTTTATAATCAATTTAAACTGAATTTTTTAGTTTCGCATACTTTTAAAGGGAAAAACAATTATTTTTAGGTTAGGTTTCAAAGCAAGATTTTATTAAATTTTCAAAACCGAATTAAATTCACGATCGTAAAATGCGGAGTAAATAGAAAAATATCAAAAAACTACAATTTTCTTTTAAAAAAAAAGAGAAAAAGAAGAAAAATGAATTAGGAGAAAAATAGCGATATTAAAAATATTCACCTCTTCCTGCGAATTATTCATTAAGTTCGACATCTTCTTTTTCGCTTTTTCCAAACGATTTTTTTTCTCAACTTCTCTTCTGAATCTCAAAACAATCTATTGCACTTTAAATCCATTTATTATAAAAAAAAGAGACCAAAAATCTGAACAAACGATTATCAATAATCATAAAAACGCAGTGGTAATTTTTTATTGTTGCCGAAAACCAAATCACCTGTCAAACAACCGCCATTTTGAATATTATTCTCACTTGCATTCAAGAAGAATTCCGATTGGCTAATATTCGTCACCTGTCCAAGTGAATCTATCGTGATTGGTTGAAATTTTCTTCCCCTAGAACTAGTACTAAGAGCGCGAAAATTAAAAAAATTTCTCTAGAAATTAAAAAAAAAGGCAAAATAATAATTTAATTTTCAAACAAATTTGTACTATTTCTAAAGAAAGGACTATTTTTGAATAACTATGTATACTCTACATAGTAATTTTCCCTGAATTTACCGAAAATCGTGTCAAGAATTGTGTTTTTAACGTTTATTTATCTTTTTTAAAATTAAAAAAAACCCTTCTAATCAGCTGATTTCGGGAAGACATAACCTTAAAATGTCAAAAGAATTCATAACATGAATTTACATTTATGTCATTCATATTTTACGCAAAGTTTTAATTTTAATTTTGTTACGTTTGTTAATAAATATATAATAAATAAATGAAGTAATTCTTGAATATATATAGATTGAACTATGGAAATTTATCGAAGAGGAGAAAATGTTTTAATTAAAAAATTGTCTGTAAATAATAGTAGTAGAAAATATTTATTTCTTTGATGTGGGAGAATTTTTAAAAATACACCGAAAATACGTATAAAAAATTATTGCATATAAAAAATAAAAAAAAAAGAAAATGATTCTTTAAAAAATATTTATTTAAATATGACAACGTATTCGATAAATCTGGACGAAAAGGGCCAGGAAGGGCCGATTCGATGTATATTTTTCTCAGAATTCCATCACATTGCTGGTCCAAAAATCACTTGTCAGGTAAGTGTTTCGGTATTTTATTTTTTTTATTTTAATTTAATTCCCTTATTTTTTACTTTTTTTATTATTTTTCTATTATTTTTATTAGCATTTTGTCAGTATTTTTATTATTTTTTTTTTATTAGTATTTTTTGTTATTTTTTCAGTATTTTTATTTTTGTATTTTTTAGTATGTTTACTATTATTTTTATTATTAGTAGTTTTCTATTATTTTTATTATTATTTTGCCTTTTTTTAATTATTTTTCTTTCAATATTTGTTCAGTTTTATTTTTGTTAGTATTTTTTCAGTATTTTTATTTTAATATTTTTATTTTAGTATTTTTTCAGTATTTTTGTTAGTAGTATTTTTCTATTATTTTTAATAGTATTTTGTTAGTATTTTTATAATTTTTTTATTGGTATTTTTACTATAATTTTTATTTTAGTATTTTTTTATTATTTTTATTTCAGTATTTTTTCAGTATTTTTTGTGTTAGTATTGTTTCAGTATTTTTATTTTAATATTTTTTCAGTATTTTTGTTTTAAAATATTTTTTCAGTATTTTTATTTTAGTATTTTTGTTAGTAGTATTTTTCTTTTATTTTTATTAGTATTTTGTTAGTATTTTTATAATTTTTTTATTAGTATTTTTACTATTATTTTTAATTTAGTATTTTTTTATTATTTTTATTTTAGTATTTTTTCAGTATTTTTATTATTACAAATTTTTTATTATTTCTATTAGTATTTTTATCATTTTTTTGTTAGTATTTTTACTATTATTTTTATTAGTACTTTTTAAATTATTTTTGTTATTACCATTATTTCTAAAATATTGTTTATAGTCTATTTTCTTTATTTGTATAATTTAGAAGTTATTCTTTTTTGCCTTACGATTATTTTTTTTCAGGTACCAGACAATTATATTTCAAAAGATATTTTCGACAATGTGAGTGTTTACATTATTCCAAAGGCACAACTTCAACGAAGTACAATTACTGTGTTGGTATAAATTAAAAAAGAAATAGTTTTTTATTTTTTATAAACAATTTGAATATTAAGTTTATTATTATTTTTTTTTGCTATTTTTATTATTTATCTTATTGTTATTTTTTATTTTTTTGTTTGTCTTTTTTAGTGTTATTCTTATTCTTATTAATTGATTTATTAAATTAATTCTGAATTTCAGAACATTAAAGGACTACAAAATTCTTGGATTTCCAGTGAAAATTGACGATAAAAAATATGCGAGAAATGCATTTTATTTTAATCTTTGTTTCGTTTGCAATTCAGAGGCGCGAACAGTTCATTATGAGCCAGTTGTGAAGAAAATGTCCGATTTTTTGGTAAGAATTGAATTCTTATTTTTATAAACTAAAATAAAAATTAAATGAATCAAATTAACTGAATTAAATTAAATAGATTGAATTAAAAATAACCGAATTGAATTAAATTGACTAAATTTCAAAAAAAAACTATTGAATTAAATTAAGTGGATTAAAAAAAACCGAATTGAATTAAATTGACTGAATTAAAAAACCGAATTGAATCAAATTGACTGAATTTAAAAAACCGAATTGAATTAAAATTTATTTTTTTTTAGATGGCTTTGGAAATTGAAAACACATTTCTCTCCGCTTCGGAGGATAAAACGCGCCTCGCCGAAATGCTGCGACACGTAATGCAGGATTTAAATTTACATAAAATGTGTACACTGACTGGTAACTATTTTGCGAAAGCAAAAGATTTAAATATTTTTCTTGATTGTATGTTTTCTTTATTATTAATTATTTCCATTTTCTAAAATTAATAATTGAAAAATTTTCTGATAAAGAAGGAACAATGACGTCGCATTTAAAAGTCGTGCGCCTGGCACCGGAACCGCAGCCAGTTTTGGATCACCAGGTGCCGATATTTTTGGAGGGCCGCGAAGCATTTCGCAGCGATCAATGGGATTTAACGACACAACAAGTCCTGCCCTACATCGACGGATTTAATCACGTTTCACGAATTGCCGTCGAGGCCGACGTTGACAATAATCTCGTCAAGAGCTGCGTACAAAATCTCGTGTATGATTTGAATTTCTTCATTTTCTTTCATTATCATTAATATCATAACTGAAAATTCACTTTTATTTTATTTTATTATTTAAAATTATTAAATTATTAATTAATTTCCAAAGCCATCTAAAATTGAAAGAAAAAAGAAATTTTAATTCAGTCTTTTTTTAAAATTTAGTCAATTTAATTCAAATTTAATTGTATTAAATATTCACTATAAAATAATTAATAATAGTATAAATAATTATTGTTTATTTTAATACTAATAACTATTTACTGATAAAATTGAATAAAGGAAAATTGTTTTTTGCAGATATTACGGAGTCGTGACATTAATTCCGATATTTCAATACAGTAACGTTTATGCGACAACTCCAAAACTCAAGGAACTCGCGGAGGATTTGAATTTACAAGAAAAATGTATAGAATATTCGTCGAAGAGTCGTGAGTATTTATTCAATTTTTTAATTCAAAACTACAAACAACTAAAAATGACTGAAAATAACTAAAAACTAAACTAAAAATTCACGTTATAATGCTTTTAATATTCAATTATTATTATCTAAAATTTCAACTGAAACTCATTTTTAAATCAATTTTGTACTAGAAAATTCTACGAGAATTCAATTATTTAAATACGAAAATAAAAAATTTACTGAATGTTTTTTGAATATTAAATTCTTTCGACGAATTTCAATGAAATTTTTAAAAATAATGTCATTTTATTTCAATTTTTTTGCAAATAATTGAATTCCAGTGGAAATTTTTATTATTTATAAAAATAATTGAATTTGTGGGAAGAATTTTATTACAATTTTTGAAAATAATTTAATTTCAAATTTTTTTAAATATTAGAAATCCTCCGCAAAATTCAATTATTTATGAAAAAAAATTGAATAATTGCCAAGAATTTGTTCCAAATTTTTGAAAATAATTGAAATCTTCCGAAGAATTCAATTATTTATAAAAATTTGAATTCTTGACAAGAATTTTATTTAATTTCATGAAAATAATTGAAATTCTCCAAAGAATTCAATTATTTATAAAAAAAAAATTAAATTCTTCACAAGAAATTGTTTCAAATTTTTGAAAATAATTGAAATCCTCCGAGGAATTCAATTCTTTATGAGAAAATTGAATTCTTGACAAGAATTTTATTAAATTTTACAAAAATAATTGAAATCCTTCGTAGAATTTAATTATTTATAAAAAAAATCTAATTCTTGTAAAGAATTTTATTAAATTCTATGAAAATAATTTAAATTCTCCAAAGAATTCAATTATTTATAAAAAAAATTGAATTCTTGCAAAGAATTTTATTAAATTTTATGAAAATAATTGAAATTCTTCAAAGAATTCAATTATTTATAAAAAAAATTAAATTCTTCACAAGAAATTGTTTCAAATTTTTGAAAATAATTGAAATTCTCCGAAGAATTGAATTCTTTATGAAAAAATTGAATTCTTGACAAGAATTTTATTGAATTTTACGAAAATAATTGAAATCCTTCGAAGAATTTCATTTTTTATGTTGATAATTAAATTCTTGGGAGAAATTTTATTACATTTTTTTGAAAATAATTGAAATCCTGAGAAAAATTCAATTATTTATGAAAAAAATTAAATTCTTGACAAGAATTTGTTTCAAATTTTTTTAAATATTAGAAATCCTCCGCAAAATTCAATTATTTATGAAAAAAATTGAATTCTTGGCAAGAATTTGTTCTAAATTTTTGAAAATATTTGAATTTTTGCGAAGAATTTTAATACTTTTGAAAATAATTGAACTACAATGAAAATTTTTATTATTTGTAAAAATAATTAAATTTGTGGGAAGAAATTTATTACAACTTTTGAAAATAATTGAATTTTTGCAAAGAATTTTAATACTTTATGAATATAATTAAACTGCAGTGAAAAGTTATATTATTTGTAATAAAATAATTGAATTTGTGTGAAGAAATTTATTACAATTTTTGAAAATAATTGAATTTTAGCGAAGAATTTGAATAGTTTTAAAAATAATTGAATTCTTGTGGTGAATAATTGTTTGTTTATGAAAATAATTAAATTTTGCAAAGAATTTTATTAAAATTCCTGAAAATAATTGAATTTCGAAGAAGAATTTTATTCATTATAAAAATAATTGAAATTTTGACAAGAATTTTTTTGAAATTTTCGAACATAATTGAATTAATTATTATTATTAATTATTATTATTTATTATTATTTATTATTAATTATTCATTATAAAAATAATTGAAATTTTGACAAGAATTTTATTAAAATTCATGAAAATAATTGAATTTCGAAGAAGAATTTTATTCATTATAAAAATAATTGAAATTTTGACAAGAATTTTTTTGAAATTTTCGAACATAATTGAATTTTGGCATTTCAATTTTTTAAAAAGTTTTTTTTAACTAAAATTCTTTTCACAAATCCTTTATTTTCAATAATTAATTAAATATATATATATTTAAAAAAATTTAACTAAATTTCATTAAATTTGCAAATTTTTATTATATTAATTTTGTTTTTCTATTTTTAAAGCGAGACAACCGGCATTTTTAAGGGACATTTTCCGCATGTACTCAAATATGACACACGGCAGCAGTATGAGGGATTTGTGCCAGAGATTAAATCCCCAGAGTTTGAGGATCAATGAGAGGCGTCTCGTTCAATTCGGTTTAATTGAGGGTCTCATTCGTCGTGTTTACAAGGTGACGAAAATTAATTAGCAATTCAAACAGAAAATAATTAACAAAAGTTTCATTTAGTATTTAATAAAAACTAAATTAAATTAATTTAAAAAAAAATACGAAAAAGTAAATAATTTGTTTTCGTATTTAAAGAAATTAAATTATTTTATGTTTTTCATATTTTTTCTTCCAAAAAATAAGAAAAATGAATTAAATTTAATGAAGAAAAAGACGCAAAAAGAAAATAATTTGTTTTAGTATTTAATAGAAATTAAATTAAATTAATTTAAAAAAAGAAGAAAAATATAATTTTAATTTTAGTATTTTAAAAAAATGTAATAAATGTTGTTTCTTTTTTTTAAAAAATAGTATCCAATTCGCCTGCCGGGAATACTGAGCGAGGAATGTAAAAATAACGTTCTTTATAAATATTTCACTGGCTCTTACAATCTCGACGAAATTTGTTGCTCCACCGGACAAACAGTGGCGCAAATCGAAGACATTGTCGAACGCGATCCCAATGTCGTGATGCTGTGGAAATAAATCATATACGAATTTTCCAATTTTTCAAGTGAATTTCTTTTCATTTTTCAAATTTTTGAAATATTTCCTACTCTTCTGAATTTTTTTTCACAATTTTTCATTTCTTTCTTCTTTATTAATTGTTACACTGGGAAAAAAATTGATTTTATTCGAATAATCGATTTCTTAAGAATAAATTAATTAGAAAATTAATTCTCTTGAAAATTATTTGTCTATTATCAAATAAATATTTATTTGAATCAATTTTTATAAAAAACAAAAAAAAATACTGAAATTATTAAATAATTATTTTTTTCTAATTCTAATAATTATTGAAAATAATAAATTAATAGTAAAATAAAAGTAATAAATAAAAGAATAAAGATTAAAAACAATTCATTTGATTTGAATAAAAATTATTCGATTCAAGTTAACATTTGATGATAGACGCAATTAATCGATTATTTGATTCAAATAAATTTTTTCATCACTTTAACAATTAATTGCGAAAAAAAGATAAAACTTCAAATTTTATATTTCCAAGTATAAAAATTAAAAATACTTTCAATGAAATTAAAATTAAAATATTATTTCTAGAAATAATTAATTTTAATTTAAATTAAAAATACTTTTAATTTTCAAGAAGTTTTTCTTAAAAAAAGAAAAAGAAGAAAAAAAAAAAATTCTTTTTGTAAGAAAAACTTCTTTTTAAGAAAAAGTTTTTTGTTATTTTTGTTTTTGTTTTCGTTTTCGTTTTTATTTATTCGTTTAGACTTTTTCTTTTATTATTATAATAATTCCAACAAATTTCAAATACTCAGTTTTTTTTTGAATTAAAATTTTAATAAATAAAAAAATATTTAATACAAAAATATTTTTTCTGGTTTTGTTTTTTGTTTTTTTTCATTTAACGTGTGCGTGGCGGTGAGAAAAATACAAATTTCTTCACAAATGTGCGAATACTGAGAAATATTGTCGATTCCTTGACGATATTATAAAATTGCGCTGTCATTTTGTCATTTAAAATTGAACCGGAATATTTTAAAATTTGATATTCAATTGATATACGTGTTTTATTCATTATTTGCAATTTTATACTTTCAATTGTTTCATTTGTCATGATGTTTAATGTAAAATTTCGTCCACCATAATTAATGAAAATTTGTATTGTTGCTGTTGAAGAAGAATCATCATCAAAATTTTTCGTTTTAATTTCGTGATGATTATCATTAGAATTTTCGTGAAATTCGTTGAATTTCGCAGTCGAGAATTTTCGTTTCATTGCGTGAATGAAAAAGAAAAACGAGTTTTTTTTTCTATTTTACAAATTTAAAACATTTGTTGGCATTTTTTTTTCTCGATTTTTTCCTCCAACGATGAATTATTGTAATCATTTTTCACCGTTTTCTCAATGATCGGAAACATTTATTTTTTTACATTTTTTCCATTATCTGCAAATAGAAAAATTAAATAGTTTATAAATTTTAATTTAATTTGACAATTTATTTGAAATTTTTGAAAATAATTGAAATCCTCCGAAGAATTCAATTATTTATGAAAAAATCGAATTCTTGTCAAGAATTTTATTTTTTATTATGATAATTGAATTCTTGCGAAGAATTTTATTAAATTTTTAGAAAATAATTAAAATCCTTCGAAGAATTCAATTATTTATGAAAAAATTGAAATCTTGAAAAGAATTTATTTCACATTTTTTAAAATAATTGAAATCTTCCGAAAAATTCAATTATTTATAAAAAAAATTGAATTCTCGACAAGAATTTGTTCCAAATTTTTGAAAATAATTGAAATCTTCCAAAGAATTTAATTATTTATGAAAAAAATTGAATTCTTGTCAAGAATTATATTAAATTTTATGAAAATAATTTAAATCCTCCGAAGAATTCAATTATTTATTAAAAAAATTGAATTTTTCACAAGAATTTGTTCAAAATTTTTGAAAATTATTGAAATCCTCAAAATAATTCAATTATTTTTGAAAATAATTGAAATCTTCAAAAGAATTTTACTTTTTATGAATTGAATTTTTAGGAAGAATTGTGTTAAAATTTTTGAACATAATTGAAATTTTTTGAAAAATTTTATTATTTATGAAAATAATTGAAATCTTCCAAAGAATTCAATTATTTATGAAAAAAATTGAATTCTTGTCAAGAATTATTTTAAATTTTGTAAAAATAATTGAAATCCTCCGAAGAATTCAATTATTTATAAAAATATTGAATTTTTCACAAGAATTTGTTAAAAATTTTTAAATTTATTGAAATCCTCCAAATAATTCAATTATTTTTGAAAATAATTGAAATCTTCAAAAGAATTTTACTTTTTATGAAGATAATTGAATTTTTAGGAAGAATTTTATTAAAATTTTTGAACATAATTTGAAATTTTTTGAAAAATTTTATTATTTATGAAAATAATTGAAATCTTCCAAAGAATTTAATTATTTATGAAAAAAATTGAATTCTTGTCAAGAATTTTATTAAATTTTATGGAAATAATTGAAATCCTCTGAAGAATTGAATTATTTGTCAAAAAAAATTTAATTCTTCACAAGAATTTGTTTAAAATTTTTTAAAATAATTGAAATTCTTGACAAGAATTTTATTAAATTTTTTTAAAATAATTGAATCAAAAGAATTTTACTTTTTATGAAGATAATTGAATTTTTAGGAAGAATTATATAAAAATTTTAGAAAGTAATTGAATTATCTTTTGGAAAATTGTGTAACATATTAAGAAAATAATAATTAGTTATGTTGTTAATATTTTTTAAAATTTTAATTAAATTAATTGAATTAAATTTTATTTATTAATTAATATTTAATTATTATTTAATATTTAAGAATATTAATTTAATAATTTAATAATATTTAATTTATTAATTAACATTAATTAATAAGAATTAATATAATTAATAATTTAAAATTCAAACAATTTTTTACGTTATACTTTTAATTTTCTTTCATTAATTTTATATTAATAATTTTCCAATTCAATTTCTAATTCTCAACAGAACTACAATTTTTTTAAAATATTAAATTATGTAAAATGGGTAAAATGAATAAACTTCATAAATTTTGAGGTTAGAATTTAAAAAAAAAAATTAAAAATATATTTACACAGATTGCATTTAAAAATAAAGAAATAGGAGAAAAAAAATTATTTCCCGCGCAGAATTGTTAATATTTAGTAGGAAATAATAATTTTGAAATTACCTTTTGAATTTTGTTTGAAAAATGTTGAAAATATTAACTAGCAAAATTTCCAGGAGAAATAGAGTTGGAATGTAAACACGTGTTTTTAAATGGAATCTGCAATAACTGAGAGTTGATATAATATAGAGTGAATTAATCTACAAAGAATAATTAATTAACTAATTTTGAATGAATGAACACGGTACTTTAATTTCATTGGTCTAGTTTTAAATTATTGTCGTTGATTGGTCGCATTCTTTACGCTGCGCGCGCATGCATCTATTTATTTTCTATTTATTATTTTTTTTATTTAATTTTTTTTTTATTTTCTATTTAATATTTACTTCTTGATTTTCTGGTTATTATTAATTTGTTTATTATTTACCCATTTTGTTTATTCATTTCATTCATTTTACCGAAATTTTATTTTTAAATTTTCCCGAAACATTTTCTAGGAACTTTTCAATGTTTCAATTTTTTTCTGTTGGCGCCATTGCGGCGAAGTTTTGGTGCGCAGTGAATTTGTTCGGTTGCCAGCAATTGCGACTATATTCAGGACATTATTCTTGTTATTTTCAGTGGAAGTGGAACAGCGTCAAAAGAAACGTTAATTCCTGTTTAGTCTCTCCATTGTTCATCATCTTCGGTTATTTCTGACACAGAAATCACATATTTTTCGTATCAAATTCTCGATAAATTGTCTCGTCAAGAGGTAAGTGAATTAATTTCCAATTTTTACTCAAAAATGTGAATAACTTTTCCCGAGAGTTTTTTTTTGCTTTTGACATTTAATCGTTAAAATCTAAATCGTGTCAAGACGCGTTTTGTCATTTCCGAGTTCCAACAGAGAAGGAAATAAATTTCTTTTTATTATCAACAAAGCATCTTAAAATTAAATAATTTTTTTTTTAATTTCCTTTGTGTTCAATAGTTTTACGTTTTTGGTTTATTTTTCCCCTTTTCTTTTGAGAGAGTGGATTACAATCGAAATTGTTTTCTAACGAACTTTCTGGAAAATATTTTCGTTTTACAAAATGGCGTGTATTGATTTTGTTATTAGGAAAATGAAATAAGAACTTAAATAATAATAATTGTTTTTTTTTTGTAAATTCTAAGAAAAAATCCATTTCGTGGCGAAATGGAAATAAATTAACATTCTTCAAGTTTTTAATCAATTCAATCAATTTGATACTTTTGTTATCTTTTGTTATTTCTTTTGTGAACATTTTTTACTTGTCGAGTTGATAAACACTTTTCTTTGTGCCACTTTTTGTGATACGCTCATTGTAAATAATCAATAAATCTCTATTCTCTGCAAATAATTTAATATTTCAAATAATTAGTTTTTTTACAAATTAGAGAAATGAATATTTTCTCGATTAAAATTTTTTTGTTTTTGTGAATAATCTTATCAATTTTCAAATATTATAAGAGAATATTTTATTTTTTCAGTATTTTTTTATTATTTATTATTATTATTTCATTATTTAATGACTTCTAATTATTGTATTATTAATTAATTGTTTTTTAAAATTTTTTTTAAATTTTTTACTTTTTTTATTTTTAATTGCAAAGGTGGAAAAATATAATATATAAAAAAATATAAAATGCAAATTATTTCGATTTTTATAGTGTGAAAAATAACTATAAACTATATCTATATAATAAAAATCGTTTTAAATAATTGAAATTTTGTAAAATTTATTTGAAAATAATTAATTTTTTTAAAGTATTTTGTTACAATTTTTGAAAATCGACTTTTAAAACAGTTTTATATTGAAAAATTTAAAAATAATTAAATTATCAAAAATTTTAATGAAAAATCTTTAAATGTCAATTTAAAAATAAAATTTTTCTTAGATTTACTTCTTTAGATTTCTGATTAAAGTTTCGGAGAAATCATGTTTGTATTTATAATTAATTCTTAAAATTTTGTATATATTATATTTTTCAAAAATTCAATTATTTTTAAAAGATTTTATCAAATTTCAATTATTTTTTATATATTTTTAAAAAATTCAATTATTTTTAAAAGATTTTATCAAATTTCAATTATTTTTAATAGATTTTACCAAAATTCAATTATTTAAAAAAGAGTTTACCAAAATTCAATTATTTTTTTATATATTTTTCAAAAATTCAATTATTTTTAAAAAAATTTAATCAAATTTCAATTATTTTTAATAGATTTTACCAAAATTCAATTATTTTAAAAAGATTTTACCAAAATTCAATTATTTAAAAAAGAGTTTACCAAAATTCAATTATTTTTTATATATTTTTTAAAAATTAAATTATTTTTAAAAGATTTTATCAAATTTCAATTATTTAAAAAAGAGTTTACCAAAATTCAATTATTTTAAAAAGATTTTACCAAAATTCAATTATTTGAAAAAGAGTTTACCAAAATTCAATTATTTTTAAAAGGTTTTATTAAATTTCAATTATTTTTAAAAGATTTTATCAAATTTCAATTATTTTTAATAGATTTTACCAAAATTCAATTATTTTAAAAAGATTTTACCAAAATTCAATTATTTTTAAAAAGTTTTATCAAATTTCAATTATTTTTAAAAGATTTTACCAAAATTCAATTATTTTAAAAAGATTTTACCAAAATTCAATTATTTTTTATATATTTTTTAAAAATTCAATTATTTTTAAAGATTTTACCAAAATTCAATTATTTTTAAAAGATTTTATCAAAATTCAATTATTTTTAAAGATTTTACCAAAATTTAATTATTTTTAAAAGATTTTATCAAAATTTAATTGTTTGGGTAATTTTTTAATTGTAGATATAAAAATAGAAAATAGAAAAAATAATATAAGATATACAAAATTAATTTCAAATCTGTTTTAATGAAAAGTTAAAGAATTTAGTTTCCAACAATTTAAACACTTTGAAGTATTGAACAAAAATTAAAGAATAATTTGTTAAATTTTAGGTTATGTTACACCTTAATTGATTCTTATTGGCGAAACTGTAATTTTTATCCAAATACAACGTTTAATTATTTAATATTTAATATTCTTGGCAAAATTTCAATAATTTACAAAAAATTAATAAAACTTATTGCACAATTTCAATTATTTTTAACGCAATTTTAATTGAATTTCTCAAAAGAATTCAATTATATTCTTAAAAATTATATAAAAAATTCGTCGACAGAATTTAATTATATAAAAATTTGTTGATAAAATTTTTATAAGAATTTAATTTTAAGAAACATTAAATTAAAAAATTATTTACTTTTGTATTTAAATAATGGAATTCTCGTAGAATTTTCTACTGAAAATTGATTTTCACTTTATAAAAATGAATTTCAGTTAAAATTTATTGATTATAATTGAATATTAAAAGCAATATTATTGTGAATTTTAAGAAATAATTGAATTTTGAAATTAATTTTTTTTTGAAAAAGTTTAATTGAAATTTTTTTTTTTTTATATTATTTGAAATTTTTATTTTCTAATATGCATTTTAGTTGAAGAATTTAGGAATAATTGAAATTTAAAAAATAATGATTTTATCACTGGGCCATTTTAAATTATTATAAAACATGAAGAAATCCGAGTCTTTGACTCGGAGTTATCGATATCTTTATGTTTTATAGTTATGAAAAATTTAATTTATAGTCTATTTTATTTACCCTTTTATTTATATTCTAAATAATAAAATACTTTCACAATTTTCCTTTTTTAGCTCAACAATGCAAATTTTCGTGAAAACCCTCACCGGGAAGACGATCACCTTGGAGGTCGAAGCCTCCGACACGATTGAGAACGTGAAGGCAAAAATCCAGGACAAGGAGGGAATCCCCCCAGATCAACAGCGTTTGATCTTCGCCGGAAAGCAACTCGAGGACGGAAGGACCCTCTCCGATTATAATATCCAAAAGGAGTCGACCCTCCATTTGGTTCTTCGTCTCCGTGGAGGAATGCAGATTTTCGTCAAGACCTTGACTGGAAAGACCATCACTCTCGAAGTTGAGGCCTCCGACACCATCGAGAACGTGAAGGCAAAGATCCAGGACAAGGAGGGAATTCCCCCAGATCAACAGCGTTTGATCTTCGCTGGAAAGCAACTCGAGGACGGAAGGACCCTTTCCGACTACAACATCCAGAAGGAGTCGACCCTTCACTTGGTTCTTCGTCTCCGTGGAGGAATGCAAATTTTCGTGAAAACCTTGACTGGAAAAACGATCACTCTCGAGGTCGAAGCCTCCGACACGATTGAGAACGTGAAGGCGAAAATCCAGGACAAGGAGGGAATCCCCCCAGATCAACAGCGTTTGATCTTCGCCGGAAAGCAACTCGAGGACGGAAGAACCCTCTCCGATTATAATATCCAAAAGGAGTCGACGCTTCATTTGGTTCTTCGTCTCCGTGGAGGAATGCAGATTTTCGTCAAGACCCTTACGGGAAAAACTATCACCCTTGAAGTTGAGGCCTCCGATACCATCGAAAACGTGAAGGCAAAAATCCAGGACAAGGAGGGAATTCCCCCAGACCAACAGCGTTTGATCTTCGCCGGCAAACAACTCGAGGATGGAAGAACCCTCTCTGACTACAACATCCAAAAGGAGTCGACTCTCCATTTAGTTCTTCGTCTTCGTGGGGGAAACTAAAAAAACTTTTTTTTTCCTTAAAAAAACAATTATCAAGTAGACTTCAAAAAAAAAATTTTGTTTTCAAAGCTTTTTCGCTTTTTAATTAGATAATTTTTCTCACACCTTTTCATCATTTGTGTCTATGGTTTAAATAGCAATTGAACTCTTATTTCTTTGACGAGAACAAAAAAAAACTGCTTTTTTTCTTCAATTTTTAGTTTTTGAATTATCGCATTTCTGTGTAAAAGAATTCCAATAAAGACACGCATTCCAAAAATATTAAAGTTTCATTTTTTTTTGTCACAATTCCCTTACGAAAATGTATAACACGCAAAACATATTATTTTTGTCCTACCTGCACGGAAAGTATGTCATTTCGGGCACTTAAGGCGGGCGCAAAGTAACACATTACGCCCGGGAGTGGGAGAAGCGGGCTGAAAAGTATTTTGCGCCCGCTTGTTAATTATTTGATTTTCTTCATTAAAATGCGACATTTTCGACTTTCTTTTTATGTTGACTATAAAACTGCAAACATTTTCAACTTGTTTTATTTTGTCTATAAAAATTTGCAATTTTTTTTTATTTTCTCTAAAAAAATAATGAGATATTTGGTTTTGTTCCCATTTCGTTTATCAAAATTGTCAATTTTAAAAGTTCCTGTTTCAGTTTTGTTTAATTATTAATTACTACGTTCTAAATAAATACTATGTTTCCAGAATACATTGTTTTTTATTTCTATTTTAAAACTTCTATCATTAGAGACTTCATTCGATATAATGTTTATATAAAGCTTAATTTTTAACTACTATGAGAGTTTAATCGTGCGTGCCCTCAATGCCATACTTTCCATGCAGTTAGGACGAAATAGTTATTTTCGTAACAAGGGCGCAACACAAATTTCAATGGATTTCTATGATTTTTATTTTTAAATGCTCAGAAAGAATTTGATTAAAACATTTCTCTGCGGAATCGTGTCAATTTCTCAAAATAACCTTAAAAATGTCAATAACTAAGAGAAGCCTCCCAATTCTATAACTCGATCTGTTACAGTGCGCAAGTCCCTTGCGCAGCTTTGAGCTGATGCGCTCCGAAGAAAAGTACTTTAGAAGCAAAAAATTATAGGTTATGTTTGTATTATTTTGAATGAAATTACACAAAGGGGATTAACTTTGAATATACAAAAACTAATATCAAAATCTTTATTACAACTAAAATAATTAATCAAAATTAAATTTCGTCTTACAAAATTAAACAAAAACTTTTAAATGAGTTAAAAATGACACAAACATAACCTTAAAACGATTTGCTTCTAAGGTAGGTACCTTTCTTCGGAGTGTATCACAAATAATCTCTTAATTTTTGTCAAATACTGTTTGTTAATATTGTGGCCTAAGGTTCAAATAATTACAAGAAATTGTCTAAAAAAAAATTTTAAATTAAAAAAAAAATTTCGAGGATTTTGAGTGAACAAGAGAAAAATTTCTAAAAATATTACATTTATTTGCATGACAATTACAATCTTACATTTTTCCAACTTGGAGACGATGATTCCGATAAGTAAATATTTGACAATGGACCTAAAATAAAAGAAAATTGGGTTTTCTTTTAATTTTTTTTTTGAAAACTAAAATTATTTGTATTAAAAAGAAGACAAACTTACCGATAAATGTTAATAAGACGGGAAGGAATATTAAACCATGAGCTGCGCCAATTAAAACAATTCCCAAGTACATACGAAAATAATAGATTTGAAAAATTCTTGATTTCGCGAAAGCCAAAACGATAATTCCGACAAATTTTGTTAAAGTAATACCTGAAAGTACCTACAAGTGAAGAAAAAACAAAAATAGAATTTATTACAGAATTTAATTAATAAAAATCAAAAAGAGAATAGAAATTGAAAGTAACTTACAGAACTTCCCATTTGGGTTAATGCATCACTTGTCTTTCCTTCTTTCGTTTCGAATTTTGAGGTTAGGTAGGAATGAACAATGTGACTGCAAAACTCCACCGAAATGCCGGCAGCCTAAAAAAAATTAATTTCTTCCTTTAAATGGAAAATCAATTGAGTGTTTAGCAAAAAATTACGAACGTAACCTAAAAATTGTTCGTTTCTTCTTTCTTCAAAGCGCATCACATTTTACTAAATTGTTTTTTTTTTCATTATAAATAATAATCGAAAATAGAAAATAAAAATTACCATGACGAGATTAACGAGCGACACGGCATTCAGGGAAATATTCCACCAATACATAAGTCCCATTAAATTGATAATTATCATTGTGACATTTAATACGACAATAAATGCAGAGAAGAAAGAGAAGCCAGTGAAAATGAACGTGACGATAAAAATCACTCCCACCGCTAATGCCAGAAAACTTTGCGTCTCCCACCATATCGTCAGATATTGCTCGTAAAATACGTAAAAAACACTGAAGAAATAAGAACATAATTAGTAATTTCTTCTTTTTGAATTTTTTCTACAAAAATTTGAAATTTTGGTTAAAAATTATTTGAATTTCAAAATCAAATTTCATTGAATAATTTAATGAAGACTTGATTCTTTTTCTGTATTTTTCCTCAAAAAATTAAAAACATAACCTCAATTTTTTTTCTTTGGTACCTTTCTTCAGTACGTGACACATTTTTATATTATTTTAAATTAATATGAATTTAATTTTTACTATTGAAATTAAAAAAAAATTACCTGTAAGGAAACACAGATACTGTTTCATTACTAATTTTCCCTTCGTTAATCATCATTGTTATATTATCGGCGACTCTTCTCGAGGCCTTTATCGATTCATACCAATCGGAATCCTTCACCAATGGAACGTGATAACTCATAAAATACGAATCGCCAACATCCATCTTTCCATATTTATCAATATTATAATTAATAGCCTTTAAAAATCAGAAAAATTAAATTATAATTTAAAATATTAACAAAAATAATAATTTCAATTTAAAAAAAAAAAATTTTCTACTCACATCTAAATAAGCAGCACGACCACCTTTTGCGCATTCATCATCCGGAATATCAGTTAAGAAAGCTTTCATATATTTCCGAAAATTTTTCTGATCCGGTCGTGTTTTACGTTTCTTCGATGTTGGAACCTTACAGTCTTGACAGTAGTCTAGATGAAGAAAAGTACAGAAGAAAAATTAATAAAATTAATAATTTTTTTATAGGTTAAAATAAAAATAATTATTATTTATTTATTTGAAAAATATTGAAAAAAATGTACTATTCGTGTGTGGACAGTAGGAATGATTGCCCTCAAAATATTTACAACATCCCTCAACTGTTGTCCAATCGAAGTAATCGTCAATCCAAGAGGAAACTGAATTTGTTAAATATGATCTGAAAAGAAATTTTTTTTATTTAATTTAAATAAATTTTACAATTTATTAAGAATCAAATTTAAATTTGAAAAAAAGAAGTACGACTTTAATTATTTTATACTTCTCACATTGATGGTTGTTTGGTGGCGGAGTGAATTTGCGAGAATAAGGAATCAGTATGGCAACCTTGACTTCCGCAAATTGCGTTCTGCACTCTCTCTAAACTATAATTCAATCCCCTCGTGACTACAAAGTAAACTGGTGGTCCCATTGACAAAAATTCCTCCATAAACTGAAGAAAGAAGTTTTTTCGTTACTTTTCTTCAATTTTTCTATTACATTGAGTAAGAACTTAAAATTTTTCTATCTCTTTTTTTTATTATATAACGGGGATTACCCTTCAACTCTTAGGCTGCATTCACACCTCTGGCGGTAGAAACAAAATTTCAATTTCCAAAGTGTTGTAGAAAGACCTTTAAAACTACCGACAGAGATGTGAATGCACCTTTAAGGTAAAATGAGCAAACATAACCTTTAAATAATTCGCTGCGTCTTTTCTTCATTGCGTGTTTTAAAAAAATTGATTTTGACATAAAATTGTATAAAATGAAATGACAAACAAACTGTTTCTAGCAAAGAAAACAATAAGATTTATCTTTTTTTTCTACCTCGAAGAATTTGAGAACATAAGAATCGTCGGGCATCGAGTGTTTCTTATCCAAACCAATAGACAAATTTGGAGCGACCGCAACACTTAATGCGACCGCCAATAGGAAAAATAACATGACCAATATTCTTGTCGGTTTTCGCATCAAAAACGGCACGTAGAGATTTTTGAAAAATCTTTTAATGAGTCCATTCTGACCGTTTGATTCCGTTGAAGTGTTAGTCGTCGTAATGCAACAGAAAATGTCGAGACGGTTATTCTGCAACATGAAGTTATCACTTTATGAACAAAACCGAAAGGCAAGTTGCCAACTGTGACAAAATTAAATTCATTATGATTGAGCCTTTAAGGCTAACGCACAATAGATTCGCGAAACAGTTATGCTTAGGCCTAAAGATAAAAAAAACTAAATGGAGGGGAAAAGTTAAAAACTTGCCTCTGATCGATTCGTGTCAAGTGTCAATAAACAAACGAAGGCCGTTATTTGCAGACAGAAATTAATAAAAATCGCCAGGGACGCGTACATTGCGAATGTTTTGACAGCCGGCATTGATGACAAAGCGCCTGGAAGAAAAAAAAATTATTAAATTTTTTTATTTAGCGAACCAATCAGGTGCGTCTAAAAAAAGAATATTTAAATAAATAAAATTATTCAAGTGCTTTACCAATCAGAAAACAGCAACACTCGGAAGCACTCGTTAGGAGCATGGACGGTCCGACAATTCCTAAAATTCGGCTCATGTGTTCCGGAACTGAAGAAAATCGGGGATGCCTCTCGAATGTTTGCACCAAAATGAAAATATTGTCCACACCAACAGCCAGGACCAAAAATGGAACCACCTTTTTGTAAGTAGAAAAATATTTAAATAAATTATTATTGCTATATGCGACGCTCTTCGGTAAAAAAATTTTAGGTTATGTTTAGGATCGAGAAAAGCGTGGAGCGTCCATTGTTAACTTTTAGGAATAAAAATTATTAACCATACCCACCTCAATTGTCAATAAAGTCGTTGGAATTCCAAAGTAACCAAAAACGCCCAACGAACAAGTCACTGAGGCTAAAACTATCAAAATCCCTCCGATACTTAAAATAACTTTACTCGTCACCTGGAAAGGGGAAAATAAGAAATTATTTCAATAAACAAATTCATAAATATAATCTTTATAAATTATATTAAAAGATGTATTTTTGTTGTTAATTTATAAATTATAAATTTTACTTACAAAACATTTGCTAACACTCTCAAATTTTCCCAAAGCAAACGCAATATAAATAAACATAAGAGCGTAACTAATGGCAATGGTAAAAATCTCCGCCTTCGATACCCTATCAAGTTCATCTTCAATTGATTTCTCAACACTGAACGCAACATCCATAAATTCCGGTCGATCCTCTTCATTCCATTTTTTCATAAAATCAATAAATCTGAAATTGCAATTAAATTAGGCTCCAACAAAAAATAGCGGAAAATTAAAAATTTCCAAGAAGAAGAAAAAGAAGAAAAATTAAAGAATAAAATCTTATAAATATTAAATTTAAATACTTTTGTTCCCATTTGACAATTGGCTTCAGTTCCTCATCATTCACTGTATTTCTAACCATAAATGTTAAAACCAATCCAGTCGCATTTCTATAACTCGAAACATCATAATTGTACGTTTCCTTCTTTAAAAAACCACCGAGCGAAATTGCCGGAAATATTGGTCCCTTATAGGTACCGAGGCAAACTGGATTGAACGGATTTCTGAAAATTTCAATTTAATACAGAAACTTTAGGATAAAAAGTAATAACAACTTTGGGGCCTTCCATAAATTATGTAAGCCTTTTTTTTTGAAAATAAATTCTTATACTCACGGTAGACATAGCTCCAGCTGATTCAAATAGTAGTTCTTCGTTTCATTGTTCTTCTTATGAAAATCCGTTATATTATTTTGAAAGTATCCCCAAATACTTTGAACCACACAATTTTCAATTTTCACTGGTCCGGTGAATTCATTTTGAGTTGGGGCGTAACAAATTTTTTCCAATCCCTCATCGGTCTCTTGGCCAAGCTACGAAAATTTGTATAAATAATTAAATTTAATTAATTAATTCGAGGCGCATAAAAATATATTTCTAGGTTTACAGCTTAAAAATAAAAACCTCTAAAATGTTCTTCTGTAAATCATAAACAGCTTCTAGAAATTGTTGATTAAAAACTGGTCCATATTTCTTAACACCATCGGGCATTTCATTGAAAACCTGTGAAAAGTAGGTTTGCAAATTTTCATTTAAAAGGATTAAATAAAAAGTCAATTTGATAAAAAGCTTCGTCAAAATAAATGCTGGTCACTAATTTACCATATAGGTATATGTAATTTCAATACAAGTTACGAACACGTGACATTATTAAAAAAAATTGATACTCACAGGATCGAGACCCTTCGCTCTAATGTAAATTTGTTCAGTTCTGTAGAACGGTTTAAATGTTCGGTCAAAATAATCTTTCTCGATTCGCGAACGACTGTTTGGCGAGGCCCATATTTCAATGGGATTCACTGTGATTTTGAGATTCAGTGCTCCATAGCTCAGACCCATAATTACATAGGAACAAAGGCAGAGAATCACTGTCGGATATTGTGCACAATCTAGAAAGAAAAATTTTCAATTTTATGCAAGGAATCATTTTCGAATTTTCCTTATTGAAAGAAATTGTAAATTACATTTTCCCCAGACAATGAAAAATGTTTGCAGAACTCCATAAACGTGCATTTTTGCCTTTGTCTTGCAATTTTGTAACCTTTCGAAATTATCATTTGGTTTCATTTCCAATTCTGTGAATGGAAAATAAGTATTAATTTTCTAACTCTTAAAAAAAGTAGAAAGAATTTTAATAGTTTACGAGTTTATAAGGCCAACGGAGAAAAGGTATCGCGAACCAATTTTGTGCATTACATGTATTTATTTTCATGAAAAATACTTACTGGACGTGTGCCTTGTCCACATGTATGATAAAAATACAATCATTAGTGTCATGTAGAGAATAATGATGCAACCAATAATTCCATAGCCATTTAAGCCAATAATAAGAAATGGTGAATTTTCAGCAGTTATTTCCATTGGCGGACAGGTACTTGGACAGTCGATACAACTGCAAGGTTCCGAGAATTCCTTTCAACAAAATTCAAATCATTAGTTAATCGTAAGTATCTTAAGCACGACTGTAAATTATGAAAAAAATATTTAACTGATACAAAATAATTATTTTAACCAAATAAACGTTTCTCACGTCATATGATTCGTTACACCGCTTTGTTGCATGATACAATTGTTTCTCTGTTTCATTGTAAATAAATATCAAGTGCACTGGAGAAAAACCACCATCGTCTGGAGTAGTACCGAAAAAATTAAACCACCTGAGAAAAAAATACAAATTAATAAAACAATTCCCGAAATTAGAAGTGCAATTCTTCGTAGAGCGTTAAATTAACGCAGATATTCACCGTTTTGGAGTACAATCGATAGAAGTATATTTCCCGCATCCTAAATCCATTGCCAATCTTCCGGTAGTTGGTACGATTGTTCCCTTACACGATTCATAAGTAGCGTTTGTAAATTCCTCCGAGATATACATCTTAAAATATTTTTAACTAATGAATTTTACATTTCGTGTTAAAGAACTTTTAATTAAGGGCTGTTTGTTTGGCATTAGCTTTGCCTTAGGCGATGAGTGCGTGCGACAAGGAAACCGCGAAAAGTTGCGTTAAGCATGTGAATACAGCCTTAGGTTTGCTAACGCTAAACAATATTTGTGAACAGCTCCTAATAATTTTTTTTTTTTATAATTACTTCAGTCTCCAAAACACTTGGCAATTTTAAATCATCTTCGATAAATTTGGTGACTTTCATAAATCGACTTTGATCCGAGGCGCATGTAAATTCACAAAAGTATTTAAAAAGATTTCTTTTACATGTTGTGCATCTACCAAAAACTGCTTCAACTTGTTTCAATCCATTGTCTAATTTAATCACTTGATTGGCATCACAACAAACTTTCGGTGTTTCTGTTTGGAAAAGAAAATTATTGCAAAGGCGAAAGGAAAGCAAAACGTGAAATAGAAAAGAATAGGAATGTTTTGTTCTTTTCTATCTCATTTTATCTCATCCTCGTGATTTACGATTAGAATTGGTTTGTGAACTACCCCTTAAGGTTTATTGCAGAAGTTGCTTAAGAGTACAATACATTGTTGCTTCTACTACCCAACCCTGTGTGACGCGAGTGAACGCGAAGTCAGTCGACGCTTCGAACAGTCAGTTAATCAGTTTACTCAGTTAATTGTTAAATATATTATATACATGAATAGTGCTATGAACAGTGTTATAAAGGTTATTCTTGAAAACTTGAAAAGACATATTATAAAATATTGATCAGTTCTTTGACGAAATGCAAAAAGAACTGACAATATATTGACTCTGCATCAACAATAATAATCATCTATACTATATTAAAGGTTTGTTTATATAAATAAATTGTATATTTATTTATTATTTATATCTAAGAAAATAATTATTTACCTGTTCCATTTTCAAAAAAATGAGGACATCGTTTTTTTAATATTGCTTTTGCGTTAAGTTTGTCTTCGAGAACAACAGCCGATTTATTTGTCGCGCAAGGATGATCTATTAATCTCGAACATTCTCCATGCCAAACGCAATGATAGTTTTCGCTGATAATTGGCACAAAACAAACTACACTTAAAATAATACAGCAGTAGATAATATTCATTTTTTCGAAATTTTTTTTTTTTTTTTTGATAGTTTTTTCAACTCTTTCACATATAGACACTTATTATAATCACACAATTACAAAAGGAAAAATTTTTACATTTTTTTCAATTAATTTTTCAAAATATTTTCATTTATTTTCTTTCCGAATTTATTAAAACATATAATTTACTTTCTTCCGAATTTACAAAAATTTAGATGAAATATTTTAAGGTGAATTAGATATCAAAATTTTGTTTCTATAATTTTATTTACTTTTTCAGTTTATTAATAATAATCGATGTTAGGAACTTTGGAAAAATTAACACAAATCAGTATTGAATTTTTTAAATATTTGTGTTAAAAAATATTTTTTTCATGTAAAAAAAATAAAAGAATACATTAACGTCACCAAGCGTAGACTGAAAAAAATTTCATCAATAATTCTTATCGAACGTGTATCAATTTTTTTTTCTTTTTTTTTTATCAAAAACCAGGTGCGGGAATCTGAATGGACTGCAGTAATCTCTTCGAGATATGATTTTAATCATTAAACTCAAGTTGTATTAAAAGATATAAAATGTGTATTAAATCAAAAGAGAATAATAATTCCAAGAAAATGGTGTTTTGTTAGAAATTTAATTTTTGAAATAAAAAATATTTTTTTAAAAATTAAGAAATTCAGAATTAATTAACTAATTAACTAAAGAAATTTTCTATTTACTAATATTTTGTATAATTATTAATTAGTTAAAAAATAAGAATAAAAATATTTTTTCTTATTTTGTTATTACTGATTTGTTATACATTGTTGAAATAAGATAAAAAATTTTTCATATATTTGTCATAGGTCGAAAAAAGAAATTGATTATTGGAAATAAAAAAAAGAAGTCCGTATCAGATTCCAATACACGTGTACTATCAAACACACCTGGTAACGATTAATTGCTTTTTAATCTAAAAAAATCTTTACAAACTTAAAAGAAAAACAAGAAGTTGAAAATTATTTTTCTATTAAAAAAAAGTAATTTTAATTTACAAATTTTTTTTTTTTTTGAAGATTAATATCAGATATAAAAATTTACAAATAAAGCAAGTATGAATATTTATAAACAAATGTTAAAATTAGTAAATAAAATTAATATAAAAATTAGTAAATAAAAATAATGATTAATAGTATCAAGTACATTGGTCTCAGCAAATATATTTATATCCCGCAACTGTATTGCATCATATATTCGACATGAGCTGCAAAAATTTTTAGCAATTCAGCTTAACTGTATTATTAAATTTTTATAAAATATATATAATATTATACATATATATTTATATATATAATATTATAATATTATATTAAAATATTTTTGAAAACAGTGCCAATTCTCAGAATTTTTTCATTCTAACTTTTGAAATTATAATTAAAATTCTTTAAAAAAATTAAATAGTTTTTTTTCAATTATAATTAAAATTCTTCAAAAATTTGATTTTTTATGTAATTTTTAAAAACTCAATTATTTTAAAGAGATTTTATCAAATTTCAATCAATTTCCAAAGATTTTAATGAATTTCAATTTTGACAAAGATTTTACCAAATTTCAAATATTTTATCAAATTTCAATTATTTTTCATAAATTTTGTAAAATTTTAATTATTTTGCACTGATTTTACCAAATTTCAATTTGATTATTTTTCAAAGATTTACCAAATTTCAATTATTTTTTAAAGATTTTATCAGCTTTCAATTATTTTAAAAGATTTTCTAAAATTTCAATTATTTTTTAGTGATTTTACCAAATTTCAATTATTTGAAAAGATTTTATGAAATTTCAATTATTTTTTAAAGATTTTACCAAATTTCAATTTTTTGGGCATTTTTTAATTGTTTATAATTGTAGGTAAGGTCTTTTAAAAATTATTTAAAAATATTTTTATAAAAAATAATAAGAAATTCTTTATTAAAATTTTTGAAAATATAATATTCTACCTTTATATCTTTATAAAATGAAAAATTCACATTTTCAATTATTATGAAAAATTGAATTTTTGTATTTAAATAATTGAATTTTCTAAGAACTTTTGGAAATATATATTAAAAATTAATTTTAGATAATTGATTCAGAGCTGAAGTTTAGTTAAAAATTGTAGAAAATAATTTAAGTTTGAAAGGGTTATAGTTGTAATTTTGAGAAATTTATTCGGAAACTAGTTGAAATTTTTTCAAATTTATTTTTTCTTGATTAAATTTAATTACTTATTTATTTATATTTATTTTAATTATTTATTTATTTATTTATTTATAAATAAATTATGTGATTTAAATAAGAATAAGTAGACGTATATAAATATCTATTAAGCAAAATTATTCAAGTTTTGATTAATTGACTTTAGTAATTAGTGAAGAATTAAATAAAGAATTTATAAATTGTAATATTTCTCTGGAAATTGTTCTTTCTTAGAATATTCTCGTGAATATCTCTCGCTATAGCTATACATATATCTATATATATCACATATTATGCTGATTATGCTTCCTCACGCTTCTCTCGAATCCCGCTTATAGAAACGCGGCTGCCGGCTTGACGCGTTTTATATGTTACGAGAAGTGATTTTTAATTTCTTGTGTTTCGGAAATAATAAAGTGCAGAATTAAAAAATGGAAGAACGTAAAATGGCTTGGGTACCTTTAGAATCAAATCCCGAGGTAATTAAATCAAATTTTAACGAAAATACACAATTATTATTTGCGAAAAAGAATTACTAACCTATTTTTCTTTGTTTTAGGTTATGACAAAGGTGAGTTTTGCTTGCTTTGGAAAAATGTATATATAGCAAACTTCTTTCGGAATTTAAATATTTTATCTTTTAAATTTTATGAATACTGTTATCAATTTTTGTTTCTTTTGATAAAATTAACTTTTAATAGTGTTGTTAATGCTGTTATTAAAACAGCTCTAATATTACAAGCAATTTAATTCAAAAAATTTGACAGTTTTATTACTATTATTTTTGAGTAGAATTTTGGAAATTAATATAAATATTTATATTACTTTTTTTATAACATTCGAGTATATTATGTTTATTAATACAAAAATAATAATAATAAAATTTAATATTAAAATATATAGTAACGATAATAAAATAGATAATAAAAATAATAAATTAAACAATAATTTATTTTTTCGAATTTTGACCGAAACGTCAAAGACAAATGTTTTAATAAATAATGTTGAACAAAAAGAAATATTAAATATACAATAATAATAAAGTAAATATTGATAAAAAGTAGTTTATTAATAAAAAATAATAAAAAACAAAATCAAATTTGACAAATTAATAATTTTTGTTAGTTGTGTCATAAACTTGGTGTACCAACGAAATGGAATATCGTCGATGTCTACGGTTTGGAACCAGATTTATTGGCTATTCTGACAAAACCAGTTCTAGCCATGATTTTATTATATCCACTTTCGGACCAGGTAGTAAAAAATTTTATATTTCTGCATAGAATATATTTTTCTACATTAAATATTTATTCTCTCGAGAATACTTTTCTACATTAAATATTTATTCTCTAGAGAATATTTTTCCTTCTATAATTCTCTTTTCATTATTATTCGAATTTTTCAATAAATAATAAAAAGCAAATATTTTTGTGTATTTTAGGAAAAAGATCGTGGATTAAAGGAGGATAGTGAAACGAGAGAAAGTTCAACAGTTTCACCCGATGTTTATTTTTTGAAACAATTCATTTCGAATGCTTGTGGAACAATTGCTTTGATTCACAGTTTGGCGAATAATGCCGAAAAGTGAGTTTTTTTCAATTTTATAATATTTTTTTATTTTTACAAGACTATTTTTGCAAGAAAAATTTAAAAATTATTTTATTTTTCATAATTTTTGGTTTAATAAGTCAATATTTTTTTTTGAGAAACAAAAAATTTTATAATTTTTGTATTTTTCAAATATTTTATTAAATTTCAATTATTTTAAAAGATTTTGTAAAATTACAATTATTTTCCAATGATTTTACCAAATTTCAATTATTTAAAAAGATTTTATCAAATTTCAATTATTTTAAAAGATTTTGTAAAATTTCAATTATTTTTTAATGATTTCACCAAATTTCAATTATTTTTCACATATTTTTCGCAAATTTCAATTATTTAAAAAGATTTTATCAAATTTCAATTATTTTAAAAGATTTTGTTAAATTTCAATTATTTTTCAATGATTTTACCAAATTTAAATTATTTTTCATAGAATTTTAGCAAATTTCAATTATTTTTCAATTATTTGAAAAGATTTTATCAAATTTCAATTATTTTTAAAAGATTTTATGAAATTTGAAGAAATAGTGATGAAATAATTTTTTTAATAATAATTTTGGCAAAAAAGAGAAACTACAAATTACAATTTGTTTGTTAGCAAATTATTCATATTTTCTAACTCGAGTTAAACTTTTTTTCAGACTAGAACTAGAAGACGGATTTTTAAAATCGTTTATAGAGGAAACGAAAGATTTATCGCCATTTGAACGCGGAGATCGTTTAATGCAAGCTGGAGACATTGCCGATACTCACAAAGAATTGGCTCAAGAGGGTCAGACTGAGGCGCCCAATGAAAATGCAAGAGTTTATCATCACTTTGTGGCATTCATAGAAAAAGATGGCCACATTTACGAATTGGGTAAAAAACTGCATTAGATTGATTTTTTTCTTTACTTTTTATTTTAATTTAATTTTTTTTTTTTAATAAGCCAAAAAAACGAAGACATTCGGACAAAGATTCCTTTAATGTTACTCTAACGTTTAGTATGCGGGAGTCCCACATACTAAACGTTGGAGTAACATTAAAGGAATCTTTGTCTGAATGTCTTCGTTTTTTTGTCTTATTATTAAAACCACTCGGACGTTAAAGAATTTACTATAATTAATTTTTTTTTTTACTAATTTATGATTTTTATTAATTTAATAAAATTTAAGTTTAAATTAATTTCTTGATACTAATTTAAATTTAAATATTTTACAGACGGACGAAGAGACGGTCCTATCAACCACGGGGTTTCTAGTCCCTCTACATTTTTAGAGGACGCTGCGCGTGTTTGCAAAGAGTATATGCAACGGAATCCAGACGAAATGGGTTTTACGATGGTTGCACTTACACCAGATTAAAAAAAAGGAAATCTATTTATATATTATATATAAATAAATATATATGAACTACTCTGGGACTATTGCAAAAATAAAGTACTTTAAGTTTTGCAAAAACAAATATTTTTTATACTGTTAACAAAAATGTTACACAAATCTTTTTTTTTCTCATCAAATAATGTAATTTTGCTTTCTGCAAATAAAAAACTTTGCATTTATAAACTTTGTATGAATTTTATATTATACTATTGTTACTGTATATTTGATCAATTGACCGTTTAGTCTTTTTGGTAAATTACTCTATTCATTATTATTACTTCTATTATTTATTCCATTTATTATTTGTATTATTTTTTTTAATTATATGCTGCTTTGTAAGAATTTTTCTCATAGTTTCCTTGAACAAATAAAAAAATTCTAATTCTATAATTGAAAGGTTATGTTCAGTTAAAAAACCACATTATGTTCTATTTCTGCCAGTAGAACTGGAATTTGATAAATATAGCTCAGATTTAAAAAAAAACACCTTTTTCCGAAATGTTGATATTTACCGTCACTTTATAGTCTCTCACTGATAATTAACAAAAGATTCAAAATTGACATCAACTTCTGTCATCCGTCGACTCGACTTGTTCCTTTGTTCGATCTTCGATCAGCGCTGGGTAGTTCGATTACAAAACCTATAAAAAAAAGAAGAGGGGGTGAAACTCATCCAAGCATAGACTTGTAAACGACCCATAAGAATAAATAAAACTCACCACAAATTTCAATAATGAATAATCATACTTTAATGTCGCAATGATTGTACAAATAGATCACCTCCACTCAAACGTCTCCGCTTTAACCGAGGAACAATATAACAATAAGTATATAGCTTAATAATTAATCGTCGTTACAATCAATAATTATACATTCGTATATCTTTGCATTTCTTTTGTTTTTCTTCAATGCTTTTAAAAATTTCTTTTTCTGTAATATAATAAGAAAGAAATATGAAAAAATTTGCGAGACGGGTATTTCTTTTTTTTTTTTTGATGGTTTTTTTTTAAACTGAGAAAGCGCACACATTGTGTCATCATATATTTTTTTTTAATATTTATTTACGTGTATGTATATGTGTGTAGCTATATCATAGGACTAGCTAAACTTATCTTCATTTAACGCGATCTTTCACTTAACGCGATTACAATATTTCTTCTCACATTTATATATCTTGAGGGTTCGAGAGAATTTTTCTCCCTCTTCCTCTTCTTTGCTTTCTCAATTCGTTCACTCAATTTTTTTGTCCACTAACATCCATATTTATATATTTTTTGATAATATATTTTTTTCCAATTTCTTTTTTTGTCTTTTTTGTTTCCCATTGCATTCATCACTTTCACTCTCATCTTGTGGTTGCTCAAAAAATTTCTCAGTCAAGTAAAAATAAAAAATTTTTCTCTGATTTTAAAGGTATATTTAACTTTTTTCGCGGAATAAATTTTACTCACATTTTACTGATGCAAAAAATTTCAGGTTATGTTTGTTATTTTTCTATCTTTTTTTCTCTCATGTAAAGGCCAATGCACAATAGGTTCGCGAACAAGCATTCGATAGAAAAGGACACAAATATATCTCTATCCTTTTCTAACTTATGTTTTACGTTCGCGAATGAGAAGCATGCGATAGAAAAGGACAGAGATATTTGTCTCCTTTTCTATCTCATGATTCACGTTCGCGATTTTCAACGCAAATTGAAAATTGTAATATTTACTAATGAGAGAGAAAAGGATAGAGATTATTCGTCCTTTTCTATCTCATTGTAAAGTTTTGATTTTCAATTTCAATGTCTAGGACCATTTTCGCGAAACTATTGTGCATTGGCCTTTAGAGGTTCCATTGTCCACAAGGTCTTAAGATAAAACCAACAAACATAACCTCAAAATAATTCGTCTTTCTTTCTCCTTTCTTTAGAGTCACATTTTTTTTTTGTTTCTTTTTCGAAAATAAGCAACTTTTCCATTAAAAATAAATTATGAACTGTGAAAATGAAAATTTACCAAAATAGAAAAATTGATTAGAAAATTCTTTTAATATATTGAATATATTTTGTATTTATCTCTTTATGTATATATTGTTTTAGTCCTGATGAGCTGTGTTCACAACGAAAATGCATTCGCCAATGAAATAGAGAAACAATTCTATTAACAAAGAGCTTTCTTGTAATTATTATTTGGACCTTAAGGTCACAATTAAGTATTAACAAACAGTATTTGACAAAAATTAAGGTCCTTGAAAATAAATTATTTTCTGTATATAAATCTGTATTGTGGAAGTTTTTTTAGCAACCGGTTTAAAATTTTTATTCTACAATTATTTTCACACCCCGTTTTCATTGAAATACCTTTCGACAATGTAAATATGCAAATATACATTTTCAACGATAGCGATAAAGTATTTTTTTTATTATTTTCTTTGTTTTTTTTTCATTTATATATCGTCAATAAAATTTCTAGAAGAATGTCAATGATCGACGCTCAATATAGTATAATGTATTCAATAAATTGTTTATTTGTAACTCTTCGGGAAAACATTGAAAACTCGATACTAGGCCAACTATTGGAATCTGCCTACGTGCACAGTTTTCCATAAATGACAAAAATTAAATATTTTTTTTAATAAATAAAAATATTTTTTATCTATTCGAAAAATTAAAATTAATTAATAAACTAAAAATCTCTTCGTAAAATTTAATTTAAATAAAGAGATTAGATTTTTTTTGTTGATTTTTAAAGAAGAAAAATTAAAATTGTAAATTTTTAACTTACGCGTTGTCTCAAAAAAAAAGAAAAATGAAAACTGTGCACGAGGGTGGAATCTCGACAGAATTTCTGCTTATAAAATTTATACAGTTAGATAAATGCAATGACTGGAGCAACGGAAGTTCCTCAGTTAATAATTTCATTTCTCGCAAGGTCTCTCTTTCTCTCACTCTCGTTTAAGGATTTCTCATTTTTTTTTCTTTAATTATTAATTAATTATAATTCTTGGATCTTGGTGTGTTTACAATTCGCTGTCAGGTCTTAAATATATATTTACTTCGTTTCGTTTTTTTCAATCTTTTTTTTTTAATTCTTCTTTTGCACGTCTAAGTTTGCAATTTTGCATTTTTAATATTTATCGATTTATTATCTCTCGATAGAGAAAAATTCTACAATTGAGAAAAATTTAAATAAAAAATGAAAAAATTTGAATTGAAAATTGAAAAAAAATTATAAACTAGGTAATAAATAATTGATCGATTAATTTTAATTAAAAAGTAATAGTTAATTAATCAATTAATTAATTTTAATTAAAAAAAGAACTAATTGATTAATTACTAATTAATTTTAATTAAAAAATAAGAATTAATTGGTCCATTAATTAATTTTACTTCGAAAACTAATTGAAAAACAAAAACTAATTGATCGAGTAATTAATTATTAATTAGTAACGAAGTTATTTATTAATTAATAGTAAAATTATTTAGTAAAAAAAGTAATTAGTAACAAAATTATTAATTAGTAGCAAACTTATTAATTGGTAACAAAATTAATTACTAATTAATAGAAAAATTATTTATTAATTAGTAAAGAATTGAATTGATTGTTAAAAAAATAAATTGTTAATTAGTGATAAAATTACCTATTAACAAAAATTGCTATGAATTTATTGAAAGTAAAATTAATATTAACAACCAAAAAAAAAAAAAATAGTTTCGATTTTCTCAAAAGCAGAATTTTCGAGATAAATTAATCACTCGCAATATTTTTTCAATAAAATTCAAACGAAATGAAATTCTTATACAAAAACAAAATTGGAAGTACATATTTTCATAAATTATTTTAAATTCAAAATATTTAGAGTGATTCAGATTTTTTAAAGATCTACCAATAAAATCGATTTTCAATATGAATTTCTTTTTTTTTGTAATGCAATGCGTGCATAAAATTCTAATTATAACATCGTTACTTTGAGTACGTGTATATATTTTTTTTCATTATTTTATTTATAATATATATATTTATATAATATATATATATATATAGATTTATTTATTTATTTATTTATTCATTTATATTATCTTTATATCATGTATTTCGGTCGTAATTATTATTCTTCTCTATATAAATTCATCAATATTACTTTCTCTCTAATTTGCACAAATTGTTTTTTTTTTGTTTTAATCAAAATAACGATTTTTAATTAACATTACAGACGACAATCGACTATTTTCTTAAATATATTCTCGTTAATAATTATTTTACATATATTCAAAGCTTCAATTTACAGCAGTAAATCAAAAATTTTGTTTAAGACTTAAATAACTTTCCATAAATAAATATTTCGTTTTTAATATCATATACAAAATTAAATTAATAATGTAATAATTAATTATATAATTTATAATATTAATTAATATTAAAAAATTAAATTAATAAATCAAATCATAGCACAAGTGTTAACTAATTAATAAATTAATTTATCACAAAAATATTAACTAATTAATAAATTAATTCATAACAAAATTGTTAACTAATTATTAACAAATAATAAATAACAATTTCCCATTTTTGTTTAATAAACAAAAAGATTATTACGTTGTTATTATTATAGTAACGTTTTATTATAATAAATAATACTTGATAGTAATTAAAATTATTAAAATTAATTATTGAAATTATAAAAAGTTGATAAACTTCAACAGACATAGAAAAAAGTTTAAAATAGAATAAATAAATAAATAACAATAACAAAATAAAAAAAAGTACAACAACAATAATGATAATAATAATAATACTGATAATAGTAATAAAAATAAAAATAATAAATATTTATACATAATAAAATTATTAAATATTCAATTGTCGTCCATATGTAATTAAAACGAGTGAAATTTGAGTTTTTTTAAAAGAATTTTTTTGAAAGCTAATTGAAAAAATCACACCATTTTTCAATTATTTTGTTATACATTTTTTTGTCTTTATTTATTTATTTGTTTGTTTGGCAAATGTCAGAAAATATTGAAAAACGAATTTCAAGCGTTTTTGTTTTATAATTATTTTTATGTAGTTATTTTCACTTCTTGTTTTTTTGTTGAAAAGTAATTTTAAAAATAAAAATGTCCCATTTTTCGAGCTTGAAATTACCAAAATTTCATTTTTTTAATTTTATACAAAAAAAAAAAAGTTTTTTTTTGCAACTGTATTTTTTTTCTCTAATTTAAAAAATTACGTTTTCTTTTCAAGTGACTTTCATATTTTTCTTTTTTGTGTACACAAACTCCACGGCGAAATTTGGTTTTTACGACACGCAATAATTGATTGTTTATTAACTATAGCTTATACAAATATTCTATACTCGATTCCAACATTCTTGAAACTTTTTTCCCCCTTCATTCAGAAAAACGTAGGTATAAATTTTCGAATGACATTTTCAATAAAATTATCCGATCAAATTTCTCACCGAATTCACCGAATTAGATTTTAAAAAATGTACAATTTTTTCTATTTTTAAGAGAAGAATGTATAAAGTGTAATTTAATTTCCTTTTAAATAAAATAACAAAAAAAAAATAAATAAAAAGATTTGGAAAATTCGGTGAGAAAATTTATCAATGGATTTATTAATTTTTATTCGTCGATTCTTCCATTTTCGAATTAAGTTGTCAAAATTGCAAGAGTCAAGTTTTCAATAAAATGAGAAAATAGTGGGAAAAGATTTTTTTTTTTACTCTTATTTGGAGGAAATATTTTTTTGTTATTTGATAATTGAAATAAATAAGTAAATAAAAAAAATAAATAAATAAATGCAATAAATAAATGTAATAAATAAATGCAATAAATAAATGCAAAAAATAAATGCAATAAATAAATACAATAAATAAATTCAGTAAATAAATACAATAAATAAATAATATTAAATAATACTAATAATATTAATTAAATTTTCGCGAGAATTTTAAAATTCTCATAAATAATAAAATTCTTTAGAGCAATTCAATTATTCTCAATAAAATTTTAATAAAATTTCTCGAAAGAATACAATTATTTTTAAAAATATTCGATTCTTTTCAAGGATTTTCATATAAATTCAATTATTTTTAACAATTTTGATGAAATTCTTGTAAAAAATCATTATTTTCAAAATTTTTAATAAAGTTTCTTGAAAAAATACAATTATTTTTAAAAAGATTATTTAAATTCAATTATTTTCAAGAGTTTTAAGAAAAATTCAATTATTATTTTCAACAAATTCTGATAAAAAATCCTCTGAAACAATTCAATTATTTTTATAAATCGTGAAATTCTTGTCAAGAATTCAAATATTTTTGTAAATAACAATTCAATTATTTTCAAAATTTTCACTAAAAATTATTTTTAAAAAATACATTATTTTAAAGAAAATTGAAATAAATTCTTTAAAACAATCAAATTATTTAAAAGAAATTTAATAAAAATCTTGCTAAGAATTAAATTATTTTCAATACAATTTCAATTCCATTTTCTCGAAACAATTCAATTATTTTTTTATAAATAATAAAATTCTTCGTAGGAATTCAATTATTTTCAAATTTTTTGATAAATAATTTTCAAGAATTCAATGATTTTCAATAAACTAATTTGAAAATTTGAAAATATTTGAAAAGAAAAATTATTTAAAAAATTTAGGAAACAAAAAAGCAAGTAAAAGTTACAAAAAAAATTAGAAATAAAATATTTATAATTAAAAAAAAACGTTGTGATTAAATATTAAAATTTTCCCGTGTAAAGTTGAAAAAAATTCTTTTCCCGAAAAAATTCCCAAAATGGATAAAAATTTCATTATATATACAAACTTGATTATTTTCCGTTGCTCTTCGCGCTAAAGGAATTTAAATTTTCTGTTTTATAAAGATGATAGTATTCAAATCCTAAAGAATATTATAATTTTTCCGAAAAAGTACAGGAATTACGATTTCAATTTTATTTTTTTTGTGATAGCGATTAATTAATTAATTTTTTTTCTCTCTTTTTTTTGTCTACTACACCATTCATTCTCTCATTCTCTCTCCTATTTTCTTTTTTTTTCTTTTCCGCATTTCTCTCTTTTTTTTCTTCGTTCTAATTTAACTATCTATCTAACTATCTTTCTTTCCCTCTCTCTCTCTTTTTCTCTTTTTTAATACGTTTAGAGGAGAAACTAGATTTTATCGACGAGAAAAAGAAAGAAATCTTGAAAAATTTCAAAAGGAATAAAAAATATGAAAGAGAAACAAAGGTTTTAAAATAGAAAAATTTGTTGTAAAAATTACATTTTGAATTTTGAATTTTTTTAGATTTCTTTCTTTTCTCTTTTTTTGCTTTATTTATTTGTTTATTTTTTTTTTTTTGAGGATTTGATAAAATTTTCTTTGAGACGAGAAAAAAGGGAAATCACTAGTCGGTAAAAAATTGCAAAGAAAGCTCGATATTTTTTTCTTTTTCTCAATCCGCGTCGGCGAAATTCCTTTCAAACAAAAAGTAACAAAATTTATTAAATTTGTTAAATTTGAAAATTAGAAATTAATTAATTAAAATATTAAAATTATAAACCAATTAATTAAATTAAATTAATTTTTTTTCTTGCTTTATTTTTAAAAGCATGAAAAATTTTTCAAGGGGCAAAGAAATCTATTTTCCCTGTAGACAAATTTTTCCCTTTTTTCAATTTCTTTCTCACTTCGTTTCTTTTTCCTTCTGATTTTTTTTCAATTCTTTCCTTTCATTATATTTTTCTTTTTTGCAAATTTAATAAATTTAGTTTTTCTTCGGAAAACGATTTTCTCTTTTTCCGAAAAGAAAAAAAATCCAAAGAAAAAAAAGAAAGGAAAGAAGAAGAATCGAATTAAGAAAAAAATTCCACCCGTGAAAGAAATCTAGAGAGACAATTTTTTTTTTGACATTCAAAATTAAAAAAAAACATACTTACAAAAAATGATCATTTGCCAAAAATGAGTTTTTCCGGACGAAATGAGAAAAATTCGTTTAGCTCGAACAGCCAACAACACATCCACTTTTTTCTTCAAGTCCTCTGTTAAATTTCTTTTTTTTTCTTTACAGTTTTTTTCTCTTTTCTTTTTTTGGTTGTTTTGTTTAAATTTAGGATTTACGTTGATAATTCCCTGCATTTAAGCAGATCGAGGTTCCTCTTGATTATATAATTATATATTAATTGTTTTTCCTTTTTTTTTTGTTTTGTTTAATATTTAATAAGTAATTTTAAGAAATCGATTATTTAAACTTAGACGTGATTATTAAAGTTGGATTGTTGAGCACAATTGTTGATTTCTACGAGTGACTTTCTAGAGGCGCTGTGCGTCGAACTCATGTCAGCAAATTCGCTGTTCGATTTTCCCTTTCGCGGCAAAGTTGTTGCTTCGCCCAGCGAGGGCAATTCTCGTGGCTTCCAAATTGGCGAACCTGAAAAAAAAAAGAAAATTTAGAATTCTCACTTTTTGCACTATAGTTAATTAATAATAATAATAATTGAAAAAAGTAGCGAAAAGTAGCTTTAATACTTCAAAAAGTAGTAAAAAAAATAGTAAAAAAAGGAGTAAAAAAGTAGTTGAAAAAATAGCAAAAAAAAAGAAGTAAAAAAATTAGTAAAAAAAAATAGTAAAAAAAAGTAATAAAAAAGTAGTAAAATATATTAACAAAAGTAGTAAAAAAATAGAAAAAAATAATAATAAAAGTAATACAAAAATTAGTAAAAAATAGTATAAAAGTAGTTAATAAGTAGTAGAATAGTAAAAAAAAGAATAAATCTGATGACTAAAAAAAACTCGTCTTAGTCGATTAAAAGTGCAAAAAAAGTGACTGAATTTTCAAAAGTAACAAAATTTTATTACGTATTTCCCTATAAAACTTATTTCCTTATTCTCCTAATTTATTTATTTAAGTAATAAACAGGACAATGCTAATAATAATATCTTCAAATCAAATATTTTTCCAAATTTCAATAATTTTCCAAAAATATTTATTTAGCACTTTTCAAAAATACGATGTTTCAATATAATTTTTCAAAATAAAAAAATAAAATGTAAAATTTGAAAAACAATTAAACAAAAATTCAAATTTATTTTAATAAGATTAACATTTAAAAAAAAAAAAAAAATTTGACAAAAATAAAAAATTATTTATTTTTTTTAAAAATTACTTTCGGGAATTCAATTATTTTCAGAAAGATTTCAATTGTAATAGGTATTTAAATGCTTATTATTTATTACAGTATAAATGACACGCTCGCGAAACGCGGTATTCCATTTATTATTATTTGGTAAATTAAAAAAATTTATTTTTTCAAATAAATAAACATTAATTTTTGAATTAAAATCAAAATTTAAATTATTTTCAACAATTTTGATAAAATTCTTTGGAGGAATTCAATTATTTTCATAAATAACAAAATTCTACAAAGAAATTCAATTATTATCGAAACTTTTAATAAAATTCTTTCAAAACAATTCAATTATTCTCATAAATAACATTCTTTGGAGGAATTCACATATTTTTATAAATAATAAAATTTCTCGTAGGAATTCAATTATTTTCAATACAATTTTAATAAAATTTCTCGAAAAAATACAATTATTTTTAAAAATATTATTTAAATTCAATTATTTTCAAGAGTTATTAATAAAAATTCAATTCTGATATAAAATTCTTCGAAACAATTTAATTAATTTTATAAATTCCAAAATTCTTGGCAAGAATTCAATTATTTTTGTAAATAATATAAAATTCATCTGAGAAATTCAATTACTTTCATGAATTCATATAAAATTCTTCGAAACAATTAGATTATTCTTATAAATTGTAAAATTCTTGGCAAAAATTCAATTATTTTTGTAATTGAGAAAATTCTTCAAAAGAATTCAATTATTTTTATATATAATAAAATGTTTCGGAGGAATTCAATTATTTTTAAAAATTTTAATAAAATTTCTAGGAAAAAATTCAATTATTTTTTTTAATTTTTCATTAAATTTTTTGAAAGATTTCAATTATTTTTTAAAATTTGAATAAATTCTTGAAAACAATTTAATTATTTTTTAAAAATACTTAATAAATTTTACTCAGGAATGCAATAATTTCCAAGGAATAAAATAAAATAAAAAAATTGTAATGTAATTCTGAGAAGAATTTAATTACATTTTCTAAAAAATTTTAATAAAATTAAATAATCAAAAAAATTTCCATTTCAATTATTAAAAAACACGATAATTTAAAAAACTTGACAGAAGTTTTTCATTTTAAATTGAAATTGAAAAACCTTTCAAAATTTTCAATTAAAATTATTGAAAAAAACTCCATTATTTGAAAAAAAAAATTAAAATAAATTTCTAGGAGATAAAAATAAATAAATAATAAATAAATAAATTTAAATAAAAAAAAATAATAAACAATAAGAAATTAAATAACAATTGATTATTTCCAAATATTGCAATTGTATTTTTGAAATTTTTTAGGTGAGAACAGGAAAAGAAAAGAGTTGAATAATAATAAAAAAGAAAAAAAAATGAAATAAAGATTAATATTTAAACATAAAAGGAATTTAGTTGACGAGAATAATAAATTGAATACCGAGTTCCTTGACAGTAGCGGGTTGATAATTTTCCGGCTGATGGGATGACTGAATAAGTCGCGCTTGACTTCCGGTACTTCCAGCGGAAATAGTTGAGGTAGTACTCAAAGTTAAATGATTAGGCGTCCGTCCCAAATTTGCCTTTTTCTCCGCCGCGTAAGCCTGCGAGTCCTCCTCGCCCTCGGACTTGGTTCCGGAGTCCATTTCAACTTTCACTTCACCTGCAAATGCATTTTCTTCTTTCCATTTAGTACCATTCTTATCCTTCTTTCAATATCTCTTAATTCTCTAATTTTCTAATTCCCTAATTCTTCGATTCTTTAGTTTCATAATTTTATAATTCTCTAATTTTCTATTTCTTTAATTTTCCAATTCTTTAATTTTTCGATTCTTCAATTTTTTAATTCTCCAATTTTTCTAATCTTTATTTTTTTATTCTTTAATTATCTAATTTTTTAATTTTTTAATTTCTTAATTCTTCAATTCTTTAGTTTCTTAATTTTTTAATTCTCTAATTTTCTAATTCTTTAATTTTTTAATTCTTTATTTTTTTTATTCTTTATAATTCTCTAATTCCTTAATTCTTCAATTCTTTAGTTTCTTAATTTTTTAATTCTCTAATTTTTCAATTTTTAATTTTTTTATTCTTTAATTCTTTAATTCTTCAATTCTTTAGTTTCTTAATTTTTTAATTTTTTAATTCTCTAATTTTCTAATTTCTTAATTCTACAATTCTTTAGTTTCTTAATTTTTTACTTGTCTAATTCTTTAATTTTTTATTCTTTAATTCTCAAATTCTCTAATTCCTTAATTCTTTAGATTCTTAATTCTTTAATTCTCCAATTCTCTAATTTCTTAATTTTTCAATTATCTAATTCCTTAATTTTTTTTATTCTTTTTTTTTATTCTTTAATTCGCTAATTCTCTTATTCTTTAATTCTTCAATTCTTTAGTTTCTTTTTTTTAATTCTTTAATTCTTTAATTTTTCAATTTTTTAATTCTCTAATTCCATAATTCTTTAGTTTCTTAATATTTTGATTCTGTAATTGTCCAATTCTTCAATTCTTTTTTTTTAATTTTCTAATTCCTTAATTTTTCAATTCTTTAGTTTCTTAATATTTTTATTCTCTAATTATCTAATTCTTCAATTTTTTTTAATTCTCTAATACTTTAGTTTTTTAATTCTCTAATTCTTTAGTTTCCTAATTTTTTAAATCTCTAACTTTCTAATTTCTTAATTCTTCAATTCTGTATATTTTTAATTCTTTAAGACTCTTATTCTTTAGTTTCTTAATTTTTTAATTCTGTATTTCTCTAACTTTCTAATTCGCTAATTCTTCAATTCTTTGATTTTTTAAGTATTTAATTCTCTAATTCTTTAATTTTTTTAAGTTTCTAATTCTTTAATTCTCTAATTTCTTAAATTCTTTTAATTATTCTAATTCCTTTTATTATTTTTATTTATTTTCCTATTAATTCTTTTATATTTTTCTAGATTTTTCAAGACTATTAAAATTGAGACAAAAAACGAATCAAAAGTGTTGCGAGGCAACACTTTTGATTCGTTTTTTGTCTCAATTTTCATTTCCTTAGAGAATTTGTTGCTTGAAATAAAAATTCATCAGAAAAAGAAATAACAAAATTACAAAATGTGAACCTCAAATAAGCAATTTAGCGAAATAAAGTGGAAAAGTAAATAAAATTAAAAGTAAATAATAATAATTAAGGAAATAATAATAATAATAATGAAGAAGAGAGCGATTGCTAACCAGAAGTATCGCTGATCGTTTTGCTCCTTGAGCGGAACGTCTGTTGTTGAGCGGAATTCACATTGTCCTCGGCCTCCTTATCCTCGACGCTCTCGCGATCGGCGGCCCTCGATTGACTGTATTTCCTCCTGACGTGATGGGAGTTTCCCGACATTTTCTTCTTCGACAACGTCCCGGTTGTGATGGCAATAATTGTTCCATTTTGCCCTTGAAGTTGACTCTTGTCAAATTTCTCCACGTGTCCAGTCGACATTCGCGGTCCAATTGTCATTGGCGGTTGTGTCAAGTGCGGCTTCGTTGACGGTATACTCATATTCCTCACCGACTCTCTTATTATCTGGCGAATTGTCTTCAAAAACGCGTTTCTAAATTCCGTCGTGCTGCAACAGAGAAAATGTGTTTCATTTCTAAAATAATCTTTTTTCTACAAACTTTCTTCTTTCTACAAACAAATTTCTTTTTTCTACAAACAAATTTCTTTTTTTCTACCAACTTTTTTCTTTCTATAAACAAATTACTTTTTTCTACTAACTTTTTTTCTTTCTATAAACAAAATTCTTTTTTCTACGAGTAGATTTATTTTTTCTACAAACAAATTTCTTTTTTCTACTAATTTTTTTTCTTTCTACAAACAAATTTCATTTTTCTACGAATAGATTTCTTTTTTCTGCAATCAAATTTCTTTTTTCTACTAACTTTTTTCTTTCTACAGACAAATTTCTTTTTTCTACTAACTTTTTTTTTTGCGAACAAATTTCTTTTTTTACGAATAGATTTATTTGTTTTACAACCAAAGTTCTTTTTTCCACGAATAGATTTTCATTTTCTACAATTTTTTTTTCTACGAATAAGTTTCATTCTTTTTTCTACAAATAAATTTTTCTTCTACAATTCTTTTCTACGAATAAGTTTCATTTTTCAACAAATAGATTTTTTTCTACAAATAAATTATTCTTTTTGCGAATAGACTTTTTTTCTACGAACAAATTTTTGTTTTTTACGAATAGATTTTTTTTCTACCAATAAATTATTCTTTTTGCGAATTCTTTTTTTTACGAACAAATTTTCGTTTTCTACGAATAGATTTCTTTTTTCTACAAAGAAATTAGTCTTTTTACGAAGGCTTCTTTATTCTACAAATAAATTTCTGCTTTCTACGAATAATTCTCTTTTTTACGAATAATTTTCTTTTTTTACGAATAATTTTCTTTTTTACAAATAATTCTCTTTTTTAACGAATAATTTTCTCTTTTTTGTAAAAGAAAATTTAATACAGTAAAAAGAAAATTTATTATTAAGGTAGAAAAAAAATAGAAAAGCGATTAATTTCAGAGGAAAATACCTATTAGACAGAACGTAGACTTTCTCCGAGCGCCTTTGCAATTGACTCCTCAGGTGAATCAATTCCCAGAGGAAGTGCGACTCCATGTCTTTTGCGGAACTCGCTCGAACTTGAACTTCCGTCACCGGAATTAAGACTTGATAGCGAATTATCTCCACTTCGCTCGCATTCGCTTTCGTTGATACGCCCTGGAAATTTTATAATTATTCACCACAATTCACGATTCTCTTCATTTACAAAAATTTACTGTTGCCGTTTTTCTTTTTTTTTCACAGAAAAAATTCAAAATCGCAAAATTTAAATCTCTTTATTTACAAAAAATTTATTTTGCCTTTTTTTCTTTTTTTTCTACAGAAAAGATTCAAAATCGCAAAGTTAAATTTATTTTTCTTACAAAAAATTTATTTTTTTATCTATTTCGTTTTTTTTCTACAGAAAAGATTCAAAATAGCAAAATTTAATTAATTTTCCTTACAAAAAATTCATTTTTTATCTTTTTTGTTTTTTTCTAAAGAAAAATTCAAAAAAGGCAAAATTTGACGAAATTCGACAATTTTCGAGTAAATTTTGAACTAAATGAACAAAATGATAAATTTAATAGGAATTTTTCGTCGAAATAAGAAGAAAAAGAAAAAGTACGAAAAAATATTTGCTAAAAATAATAGAAAACAAAGAATAAAAGAACTTTTTTCCCTCACCATTAACTTCTTCTTTTGCCTCAGTCTTTCCTTGCAGAGGAAAACCACCGCAGACTTAAAAACGAAACACATCGCATGAAGTTCGAGGCCTTTTTTAATTTTCCCAAGGAAATCGGAAATATTCAGCCACTCGACGCCTCCGTAATAAAGTAAATCTCCTGGACTCAGGTCAATTGGCTAAAGGAAAATAATGACAAATAAATAAAAACTGTTTTTCTATAAATTAAAAAACATCCAAAATTCTAAATTTCAATTTCAATTTCAATTGAAAATGGAATTGAACTTGGAAAATAAAAATTAAAAAGTTTAATTTTTAAAATTCTTTTTCAAAAAGAATAAAATTTCCCACAGGTCAATTTACCTGCTTGCAGGATTTTTGATGTTGTCTAAAGAGATGATCGAAAATTGCTCCATATTCTTCGTGAATTCTTTGCATTTCGTTGATGTGTTCGGCAACTTTTTCCATTCCCTTCAGAGCCTCTGTAAAAATCATTTAAATAAATAAAAATAAATCTTTATAAATAATCTTGAATAATAAATTAATAAATTATTTTAATTAGTTTTTAGCTGAAAAAAATTACTTCAAAGAACAATAAAGAGAAGAAAAAAAAGACTCACCAATCAAATGTCTGTGTTCATCGCTGCGTTCGTCCGTTAAATTCCTTAATTGTTGCAAAAGTAGGGGGTATTTTAAAATTCTCTGAATCGGTTTAATTAAATACGATTCCAGAGTCGATGAATGTTGCTGTCTTGGATTTCGAGCTTGTAGAAATTCTTGAAGAGCTTGATTTCCTTCATCTGGAAAATTTCCCATTTTTTATCAAATTTCAGAAATCACAGAATAAAAAGCATAAAAAAAAATCAAAGATTGTCTTTTTGTAACAAGAAGACGTAAGCTTTTAATATTAAATTTTACTTTCAAGCAAAAAAGAAAGAAAATTCAAAATGTTTTTTAAGTGACATTTAAAAATTAATTCCTCTAAAATACTCACTCGGATGTAAAACTTTTTGAGCCTTCGAATGACTCGCGCAAAACGAGCTGTAAAGCTTGAAGTGATTTACATAATATAAGAAGGCACTTCCAATGGAAAACAGGACACCCTGAAAATTTTATTTATTAATATCATTAATATTAAATTATCTATTTTTTTAAAAATAGTCTCAAGGACTAAGAGAATTATTATAATATTATCTTCGTTGGCAAAGTAATAAAATTTCCATTAACAGGCCTCGGATCGATTTTTAAAACACAAGAAAGTCGTTTTAGTCGATTCAACATACAAAAATGCATTTTATACCAAAAAATGGGTATTTTTAAAAAATATCTTGTTTGTTTTGTTTATTTCGAATTGAATTTAAAACACAAAAAAAGTCGTTTTAATTGACTCAACTAACAAAAATAGATTTTATACCCAAAAAGTGGTACTTTTTTTAAAAAATATTTTGTTTATTTTGCGTATTTTCTATTTTACTGTTTTGTTTATTTTTGTTCGTTTTATTTTTCCAAAAATTTCGGAAGAAAAGTCGAAATATAGTCGCATTTTATCGAAATAAATCAAAAAGCGTCGAATTTTTTATTTAAAAACCGAAAAAAATGATTCATGTACCTTAAATTGACTGGGATGCTCAAAGTTGTTAAAGTCCGCCTCAATTTCGATTGCGTGATCGAGATTTTGCAAGAACTGCCGTTGGAATGTGACAATTTCCTGAATATTGCCAAAGAGTGCATTAATCTCGGCATTCGACAAGAATGTTTCCCTCTTCAATGGCTCCAAATAGTTTTCCAGTAAATTATTTAAGTTCTGAAATTATTATATTTATTAGAAAAAGCATTATATTATTATTTAGCTATTATATTATTATATTTAAAAAATTCAGATAAAATTATTCTAAACAATTCGATTATTTTTATGAATTGTAAAATTCTCAGCAAGAATTCAATTATTTTCGTATCAATAAGAAAATTCTTTGCAAAAAAATAAAACATTTTCATAAATAATTAAATTCTTCAAATGAATTCAATTATTTTCATAAATAAAAAAAATATTTCGAAGGAATTCAATTATTTTCAATACAATTTTAATAAAATTTCTCGAAAGAATACAATTATTTAAAAAAATATTATTTAAACTCAATTATTTTCAGGAGTATTAATAAAAATTCAATTATTTTCACCAAATTCTGATTAAAAAAATTCAATTATTTTTTTAAATTGTAAAGAATTCTTGACAAGAATTCAATTATTTTTTGTAAATAATAAAATTCTTCTGAGAAATTCAATTATTTTCAGATACAATTTTAATAAAATTTCTAGAAAAAAATTCAATTATATTCAAGATTTTTTTATTAATTTTTTAATAAAATTCTTTGTAAATTTCAAATATTTTCAAATTTTTCAATTATATAAAATTATTTTTAAAAAATACCAGTATTTTTAAAACAATAAAATTCAATTATTTTTTTTAACAACCAACTTTGTATTTTATATACTAATTCCTACAAACAACTTTATGATTTTCTCAAAATAATTGAAATACTACGAAAAATTTTATGATTTATTGAAATAATTGAATTATTTCAAGTGTTCCATTAAAATAAAAAAAATAATTGAATTTCAGTCAAGAATTTTCTATTTATCAAAATAATTAAATTATTTTAAGGAATTTTATGAAAATTTTGAAAAATAATTGAATTCCTGACAAGAATTTTATTATTTATGAAAATAATTGAATTAATTTGAAGAATTTTATTAAAATTTAAAAAAATAATTGACTTTTACATAGTAAAGATTTTTTTATTCAGGAAAATAATTGAATTAATTGCTGAGAAGAATTTTATTCTTTATAAAAATAATTGATTTTAAAGAATTTTATTAATATTTAAAAAAATAATTGAATTCCAGCGAAAATTTCATTATGTTTATGAAAATAATTGAATTCTTGAATTGAATATTATTAAGTTTTTTAAATAATTGAACTCCAGGGAAAAATTCAATTATTTTTTTGAATTGAATTTTCTCAGAGAATTTTTACAAGATTTTTAAAAATAATTGAAATTTTCGAAGAAATCAATTAAAATGAAATTGAAAATAAGTGAAATCCTGATAAGAATTTTATTATTTATAAATTGACAGTTTGCAAAGAATTTTATTACAATTATTGAAAATAATTGAATTTTTCCTGAAATTCAATTATTTTCAAATTTTTTTTTATAAATACTTTACAAGTTCTTCTTCTTTTGTTTATGCAAAAATTTATTAAATTACTTTTTGCAGAAATTGAATAGTAAACTTAAGACTAAGAGAAAGTTCCCCCACTTAGGGGCATTTCCCCTTCTTTGCTTCGCTTCTCCTTAACGCGCAAGTCTCTTTCCGCATAGTGGGGGAAGCGTTATTCTCAGTCTCGAACTCACTGCCGATAAATTAACAATTTTATAAAGAACTATTTTGAAAAGAAATATTTTTTAAAGAACTATTTTTTAATGGATTATTTTATAAAGATATTAATTATCAAATAAATTCAATTCAGAATTATTTTCCTTTCGAAGTAATTTACAATTTTATTTAGATACAGAAAATAAAATAAAAATATTTTTTTAATTTAAATTTAGAAAAAAAAATGCGTGGGAGGTAATATTAAAAAAAAGGGTTTTTACCTTCACATATGTCCTTTCAGTCTCGACCAATTCTAAAATGACTTTCTTCAATTTCTCCGCATCGCTCAATTGTCGACTTGGCGTCATTGCTTGAGAATGCGAACTAACGACACTTCCGGTTGGACTTGATTTTCGTGTTTCGCCCGGCGATCGGCAAATGCCCGTCACTTGTTCCGCTGTTTTCAATAAATTCTCAATCTCGAAGGAATTTGTCCTCGACGTTGGTTTCCGCGTGCCCCCTTGACTCGAATTCGTGCATTCCTGAACGATATTTTCTTTACCTAAAAGAAAACAAACAAACAAAATTTGTAAAAAAAAAAAAAATTATCAAAATTACACCAAAAAGAAAATCAATTTCATCCAAATAATAATTTTTTTCAAATCAAATTCGGTTTTTTAAATTCAATAATTTTTATTCAAATCAAATTCGATTTTTTGAATTCAAATCAAATTCGGATTTTTGAATCAAATAATTTTTATTCAAATCAAATTCGGTTTTTTGAATCAAATAAATTTTATTCAAATCAAATATTTTTTATTTAAATCAAATTCGAATTTTTGAATCAAATAATTTTTAATCAAATCAAATTCGGTTTTTTGAATCAAATAAATTTTATTCAAATCAAATAATTTTTATTCCAATTAAATTCGGTTTTTTGAATCAAATAATTTTTATTCAAATCAAATTCGATTTTTTGAATTAAAAAAAAAATTCGGTTTTATGAATCAAATAATTTTTATTCCAATTAAAGTCGTTTTTTTTAATCAAATAATTTTTATTCAAATCAAATTCGGTTTTTTGGATCAAATAATTTTTATTCAAATCAAATAATTTAAATTCAAATCAAATTCGATTTTTTGAATCAAATTCGGTTTTTTAAATCAAATAATTTTAATTCAAATTAAATTCAGTTTTTTGAATTCAAATCAAATTTGGTTTTTTGAATCAAATAAATATTATTCAAATCAAATTCGGTTTTTTGAATTTAAATCAAGTTCGGTTTTTTTGAATTCAAATTAAATTCGGTTTTTTGAATCAAATAATTTTTTCTTCACTAAATTTTAGAAAAAACTAAATAAAATGAAGACAATAAATTATTCCAGTTGCACTATTCGCCCAAATTGAGAACTAATAATTTAAAAAGCTGCGAATATTGAAATTTCCATCAAGAAAAAGCGGTAATATTAGAAATATATAGCGACGACTTTGAATTCTAGGACAACGTGTATAAATTTTCTATAAATATTGTGTGTTTATATATCTATATTAATATTTTTTATTAAAAGAGAAAAAGAAGAGAAAAAAGAGGAGAGAAGAGCTTACTCCATCCGGGAGCCGGAACAATCAGACCGGAAATCATTTCATCGCTGATGACCGGAGGATCAGTGGGTGGCGGAGGACACACGAGACTTTCAATATCGTCAGTGACCCTCATCATTCCCGTGAGATCGGGAGGTTCCGTTCTCGATGAGCGCATCATCATGCAAAGGGCCAATTCCTCTTGCAGAACACTCTCCAAATACATCATATCCAAATCGCTCACAATTGCTCCATTAATTACCATTATTTCGTCGCCTTTTATTATTCCTACAAAAATTAGAAATTTCATAATTTTACACAATTTAGAACATTATTTTTTTTACCACATATTTTATTATTTATAATAATAATAATAAATAAAATATATTAAAATTAATTTAAACATCTTTTAATTTTTCTTCTTAATTTGTTATAAAAATTTTCAAATGAATTCAATTATTTTCTAAAATTTTAATAAATCATTCGAAACAATGCAATTATTTTCATAAATTTTAAAATTCTTCGCCGAAATTTTCAAAACATTTAACAAAATTCTATCAAAAATTCAATTATTTTCCAAATTTTAAAATTCTTCAGCGAAATTTTCAATTATTTTCAAAACATTTAATAAAATTCTATCAAAAATTCAATTATTTTCAAAAATTATTATAAAGTTTCGAGAAGTATTTTATTTTCTAGAAATTTTAATTATATTCAATAATCAAATTTTTAATTTTAATTATTAACAAACGCGATTATTTTGAAAATTTGAAAAAAATTCTTCATAAAATTCAATTACTTTCAAAATTTCTCAATTAAAATTATTAAAAATCATTTTATTGTTTTCAAAAATTTTAATAAAAAATTCTTCGTAAGAATTCAATTATATTTTTATAAATAGTAAAATTCTTTGCAAAAATTCAATTATTTTTAATATAATTTTAATATTTCACTAAAAAAATTCAATTATTTTATAAAATTTTAATAAATTCTTCGAAACAATTCAATTATTTTTTTGAATATAAATAAAATTATATTGAAACGTCGAAAATGAAAAGAGAATTATTATGAATGATTATACTTTTTTTTTGCTCGGCGTTTGAAATTAAAATTTAAAATTAGAATTTTTTAATTCAAAGATAAACAAATTATTATATTATTATATAGTTATAAAATATCCGCTTGCGTTGCTTTCAATCAAGATCAATGAAGCGAACCTTGCGTGACTTTGACAAGCCATTGGTGAGTGAATTTAGAAAAAAAAATATCCAATCGTTCCAATAAGTCCTCGATTTAATCTCTCATGTACAATATTTCTATTTACGGATAAAACTTTTCTTGATCAATGCTATTTATGTCATCTTAATTGCTTTATCAAAAAACAACTGTTCACGTATTCAATTTATTTCGTTTTCTCATTTGCTATTTTTATTATTAATTATTATTCCTGTCATTACTATTTTCATCATAATTATTATTATTGCCATTACTATTTTTGTCATTATTATTATTATTATTATCATTATCATTAATTTTAATTATTATTATTTATATTTTTTTTCTCTTTTTTTTTTTTATTTTATTTTTATTGATTTTTTATTTATTATCATTATTATCATTAATTTTAATTATTATTATTATTATTGTCATGTTACTATTTTTTTTACTTATTTTTTTTTTATTTAATTTATTTTTATTTATTTAATTCATTTATTATTAAATAACTTTAACGAAAATATTCAATTTTTAATAATGATAAAAATAAAATAATAATTTTTTATTTTTTTTTACTTTTTAATAAAATAATGTTAATGTTAAAAAAATAAAAAAAAATAAAAAATTACTATTTCATTTTTATAATTATTAAAAACTGAATATTTTCGTTAAAGTTATTTAATAATATTACAAAATAAGACCCTGGTTTAGAATAAATTAATAAAAACCTATAAAATAGTAGTTTAATAATTTAAAGTTAATTTTATTGTAATTTGAAAAATTTTGTAACAAATTTTTTTGTTGAATTTGAAAAAAATTGAAATATATTTATAAATTACATATTATATGGGAAAGCTCACCGTTATGCATAGCGACACTTTTATCCTCGACACGACTGACGTAACAGCAAAGCTCGTCTTGACGATCAGAATTTTCTATAAGCTCAGCCTCCACTGAGAATCCCCACATTTGATCCAGTGTATTCCTCTGGAGTTCAACTTGATAGAGAATTTTCGCACAAACTTCCACAATTTCGTGTGTGTGAAGCTAAAAAAGAAATTATTTTTTTTTTTTGACTTTCGACTTCGAGCTGAGAAACAAATTTTTGACATTTCTTCAAAATAGAATATAGTGTCACTTCATCGTGACGTATTTTTAATAAAGAATAAAAATTAATAATAATGTACCCTTTAAATGCCCTTTAACAGTCTCCGACTGTGGGCTTGTTAATGCAAAAAAAATAACAATAATAATAATATGTAGAATAATAATTAATAATAATAATTAATTATAATAATAATAAATTTAATAATAATTTTTATAGTTTACATATTATTAACTCTAATAAAGTGTGTAACAACAAATTGTAACAAATAATAACTATAAATAATTATTTATAATTAATAAAAAAATAAAAAAAAAAAAAATTAATAAAATTAATAATATAATAATAATAATAATAATAATAATAATAATAATAATTTTATAATATAATATAATTAATTTAATTATTTTTTAATTATTTATAATTATAATTAACGAGATTCTAATAATAAATAATTGGAAATTGTAATATAATTGTAATAACAAGTTAATAATAAATTGCAAGAAATAATAACAAAATTAAATAATTAACGAGATTGTAATAACAAATAATAGGAAATTGTATTATTTCTTTTAAACTTCTTATAATTTTTTTCTTCAATATATCATTTTTCATTTATCGATTTATCGTATTTCACTGTTATTCATCTTAAATTAACTTTTCTCAATACAATTTCTTACTTATAACCTATTTTATTATTCGTAAGACTTAATACTGTTAATTACCTTATTACGAATAAAGAACTTGAACCATAATATTTTAGGTTATAAATAATTTGAAGTTTATTATTTCTTTTAAACTTCTTATAATTCGTTTTCTTTAATATATCCTTTTTCATTTATCGATTTTTATCGTATTTCACTGTTATTCATCTTAAATCAACTTTTCTTAACACAATTTCTCACTTAAAACATATTTTTTATTATTCGTAACAGACTTAATAAAGAATCAAATAATAAACAAATAAAAAAATAATAAAGAACTTGAACCATAATATTGTTGGTTATAAATAAAAATTTAACTAATATACTCACGTAAGTTTCGATTGGATCAGTTCTGTGAGGGACAAAGTAATTATGATCCTCCATGTCGCGTCGCTTTTTCACGCGGACAAAATGTTCCATGGCATTTAATCCCTTTCTGCTGCAGGCGCTCGCCAAAAATTCCTCCACCGTCATTGCGTCACGTAAATAAACTGAAACAGTCTTTTACGCAAAGAAAGGAATTTTCAAAAAATTTATTTTTAACACAAATAATATTATAATTCGATTGTATTTTAATTTAATCTAATAATATAACTCGAACAGAATTGTGAAACTTAGAAACTGGCTCACAAATCAGATGAAGAAAACACTTTTCTAGTCTCTACTTTATAATTTTAGCTGGCGCGTTGCGAAGATAGAAAAAATCGAAAAATTCGAGGTTATGTTTCCAATTTTAGAAATAATAATATCAACCACTCAATTGAGTAATTAATAAAAACTGATTTCAGTTTTAAAAACTATTTGTTTGCGATTATGATTTGATCTCTTTCACAATTAAATTGAAAAAGAATTATAGATATGATTCCAAGTCAGCTCACGAAACTTTATGAACCTCAGCCACAACACTGATTAAAAGAAAAAAAATTGTGTTGAAGAGTTTAACAATTTTATTAACTCGATTTCGGGAAATTAGGAAAATTTAAATGATTAATATCAGAGAACCGAAAGAATTAATCCATTTCTTAAACACTTAAATTTACAAAAGAAACACTTTAACGAAACAAATTTTTTATTAAAGGCCATCGAAGAAGCCAGGGTTGGATAGTCGCAATCGTAAGAATGAGTTTGAGTTAGAGTAGGACAGGGATAGTCTGTCCTTCTCTTATACCCATTCTTACGATTGCGATTCCGTTTACGTTCTCAATTAAGAATCTATTTTCCGTTGGGGTAAAAATAACACAAACATAACCTTAAAATAATTTACTTTTTACCTTTCCTTTCTTCGGAGCGTGGCACAAATGCGAAAAAAGTTTACGAAGATTTATGCACTTCCGTAAGTGTCACTCGATGTGGTCAGTAATCTCCACCGGAAGCGAATGACAGTTTTAAAAAAAATCAGAGGTTTTTCCTAGGAGCTAACCTTTTCAAGAGGGAGCTGAGAAATAGTGCAGAGGTCAATTCCGCCTCCTAGTTTGACCCCTAGGAACTTTAGGAGACTATTTTTTCTTTCCCCTTCCCCGCAAATTTTTTTTATGTCAACAAAACTATCGCGATTCGGAATTAGGGAAAAAGAAGAAAGAGCTACGCCGATTGGTCTGGACATTTTGTCCAGTTTCGACCAATAAGCGTAGCGATGTCGAAAAATGGTACTACGGTGCCATCCATAAACTACGTTACCAATTATAGGGGGGAAGGGTCCAAAATTGCATTTCACGAAATGGTAACAAGAAGGGTGGAAGAAGGGGGATAAAAAATTAGATAATTTTAGGCGAAATTACCTGATTTTCGGGTATAGTGACTTTGACCGTTTTCTCCTCGTCGCGTGAAATTTGCAATGATCGTCTACTGGAGGCGCTGTTGCTCCTCGACAAAATTGGTGGTCTTCGTTTCGTCGCGCCCCGTCCCGTCAGTAAATTATTAAGTAACGATGGACTCCTGGCGCAAATAAATGCATGAAATGACGACACAGTGAAGACACCAAGTTTGTTCAGGGTCTGCTTTGTCGCCCTTGAAACATGAGTGAGCAGGCTCTGCGAACGGAAAATTTTTATTACACTATTAAATTATTAATATTAAAAAACATTATCTTCCCTACACTATATATCCTTCGCAAACTATTTCTGACTAAGGTTACAAATTGACATTTTCCTTTTTTCAATGTCGCGGTACACATTTTATTTTTCCCTTGGGATTATAAAAAAAAATATTTTTAACTAGAGAAATTGGAAATTAGTAGATAAAAATAAATATCTGTTGTTGCATAATGAAAAAAACATAACCTAAAATTTTTTTGCAGCTGTAAAGCTGCAAACAAATTTTAGGTTATGTTACACATCGTAGCCAGTAATGATAATAACAGATTCTAACTTTTAAAGAAATTGTAATAAAAAAATAATAGAAAACTATAAACAATTAACGAAATTGTAATAATAAATAATAGGAAATTGTAATTAACAAATAATAGAATTGTAATAACAAGATAATAATAATGCATATTTTAGCAGAGATGGCTTTTTCTAATATTTAATTTCAGTTTGACTTGATCGTTGTATCGAAATGACAGCATTCGTCGTGTGCTTGTCCTTTTTACGTTAACGTTTACGTGTTATTTATTTAATTTTATGTTTATATTTATTTTTTCAATCTTGACTAGTTGCAATGTATTCTAAATTGTAATATTCAGGTACTATAATTTTTTATATAATTGTGTTATTTATTATTTATTGTAATTTATTAATTTTGGTGTTTTATTAATTAAATTAGCCTGAAGAGGATGGTAAACCACAGCATCGAAACGTCGCAACTTTAAATATGACATAAGCCTTTTTTATGTTTGATACCTTCCTATTGATCGAATTAATCTTCACCAAATTACACATTCAGAAGGGAATTTTCTTTTCAATTAAATAATAGGAAATTGTAATTATACATAGTAAACATAACCTCATCGTACAACCAACATCTTTTCTTTTTTCTGTAAAAAAAAATAACACGAGTAAATGGCACTTTCGAACACATGTTGACAGTAACAGGGTCAAAACTTAAAATTGTCGAATTGTCATAAAATCCACGACTTCCGAGTTAAAATAAAAAGATTCGATTAGTAAATTCGTAAATTATTATTATCATTATGAAATGGAAAATTTTACCTTCGGATTCGGCAACTCTCCACTTTGCAAGCTGGCCATGTAGCATCGTAAGCGGAACTGCTCGCAATGAAGACGCTCCAAATTCTCCTCCCACTGGACAATTTGATTATTTATTTGCTGCTTCGTCTCGACGTCCGAAACAACCGATTGTTGCAAATCCGCCATGTGCTTTAGTTTCGAGTCCTGCAAATATAAGCAAAAAAAAAAAATAGTTTTCGATTTAGAATTGAATTTCTTCAGTCCACGGGGTCCAAAGATTTTTCTAGTTACAAAAAGGAAACAAAGTTACCGACCAACGGTAATGCAGATTTTTCTAATAAATAAATATGGGAAGAATTTTTTTTATTAAAAAAAAGGGTAAAATTTAGTACAAGTATAGAAGATGAAAAAATGTTGGGGGAACTCACAGAGTCGATTGACTTCTCCAAACGGAAAATTTCTTCCTGTAACAAGTGCAGAGTTCCTGTTTTGCCCCGATGACGGGCGAAAGCAGCGGCACAAGCTGAATGAATGCTATTCACCCAGTTTTCAAGTTCCACTTGACAAGGAGCCTGGAATATAGTTATTTTTTTATTTTACCTCTTTTTTACTCTTCTACTTTTCTTCTCTTTTCTCATTTTCTTCCCTTTTCTTTCTCTTTCTAGCTTTTTCCCTTTTTACTCTCTTTCGACCCTTCTACTTTTCTTCTTTTTTTGTCCTTTTTTACTTTTTTTCTTTTCTCCTTTTCTACTTTTTTTCTTTTATTTTCTCTCTTTCTACTTTTCTACCTATTTTTTTCGTTTTACTAAGTTTTTCATCGCGAAGGGACCCAAAAAGCAAACAATTTTTAGGTTATGTTTGTTATTTTTTAAAGGCCAACGCAGTTAGAACGTAATGGCAAAAAGACAACAAACATAACCTAAAAGTTTTTGATACTGTAGATGCTGTAGATTTTTATAGACTCTGTATTTTTAGGTTATGTTCAACGTAAGGACATAAGAGCCTAAGAACCTACCTGGAAAAGATAAGCGTCGCCGAATGCCGTACTGAGACAAAAAATGTAATCCCGTTTCGGATGTTCCGGAATTGGTTGCATAATGGCACCGTCAACAATAATCAAATGCTTCGGCGCCGTTTCAACGGCCCTACTTTCGTGGGATTCACACGGATAGAAAAGCAGCGTTGTGCCCTTCAAACAAACCCAATAGCCCCTCCAACCTCGTCCTCTCGCCAATTCGATGTGTTGCTTTCGTCTCAATAGCCATTTTTTCACACTAAGATATCTGTACAAAAAAAAACAATGAAAGAAGTGTATATACAAAAAAAACAATAAAAGAAGTGTATATACAAAAAATACAATGAAAGAATTGTTTTTACTTTCTATGCCCCTGAAGTTAGCGTCGAAAGCCAGAAGCCACAGGGCACCACAGGGTTACCAACGTTTACGAACGTAATACATGTCTAAGGCCGCGTCCACAATAGAAGTTACAACGAACGTCAAAGGGTAAGTTTACAATTTACAGCGAACGACAAAGAGTAAATTGTAAACTTACCCTTTGTCGTTCGCTATAACTTCCATTGTGGACGCGGCCTTAGACAAGGACAGAAATATATCGCTATCCTTTTCTATCTCATGCATTGCGTTCGCAAAACTATTGCTCTAGGGAATTTATCCCGAAAAAGACGACAATTCGATCGAATTTTGGAAAATTGATTAAAAAAAACACTAGAGTGGGGGTAAAAAACAAATGAAACGGAAATAAATTACTTACCCCGCTTTACGAACAGCTCCAGTGCAATTGAAAGAATCGGCCGCGGTTCCCATCGTTTTCCCTCGATACGGAGAATTCATGACACTTTCGCCATCATCGTCGTCACTGACAGCTGTCGTCAATGACATTCTGTCATCATCTGACATCTGAAAAAATAAATTCCTCTCTCATTAAAAAAAAAATTAATAAATAAAGACAATCTTTTTTTTATCAAACAATCGTCAAAATTCAATTTTCTTATTGTCCCCATTATGGACCATTCAAGTATTACGGGTATTACGTAAGCATTTTAATGGGGAGGGGGGCTTACTTTCATTAGAAAAAATGGCGCTAATGCATATAAAAAAAATCTTACAATGGGGTGAGGGGGGGGGGTCTAAATAACTCAAAAATATAAAAGTAGTAAATTACATAAATTACCACGCAAAAGGAATGACCGAAATTTTTGTTTGTGAAAATTCCTTTTTCTCACTTTTTTTTCTTTTTTTTTTGTGAAAGAAATGAAAAGTGCAGTTTAAATTAAATAAAACTTGCATCCGCGGAGATTTATGAGAACAATTCTATTCAGACTTGAAGTAACGTTTGCTAATTTGCCCTCCCCCCCCCGGCCCCTATTAACTCAGTTGCATCTAGCGGCAAGCTCTTCAATTAACCAGGAGGAAGAATCTCGTTCAGAAAAATTGTTGAGAGAAATTTTTTAACGCCCCGACGCCCTGAGGCTGCGGTCAAGGATGAAAGGATAAAAGGACTGTCCTTATTTTTTAATTTAACGATATAACTTTTTATTTTCACTTTTATTTTTACACAAAGAAATTGTTATATCACCGAAAAAAAGAAGGTGGGGGGGCGGGGGGTAAAGTAATTATTTTATTTCTGAAAAGTTCTTTTTGATCTATTAAGGGTCCCGTCCATAGACTACGTTAACAATTTTTCATTCTTTTTAGACCCCCTCTCCCCCCTCCCTCGTTACCATTGCGCTGCTAAATGCATTTTTATAATTTTTTGGACTCACTAGCCCCTCTACATTAGTAACGTAGTTTATGGACGGCCATTATAATATTTTGCTTGCTTTCTTGTCTTCCCTCAATTTTAGAAAGTACTTGGAAAAAGAAGAAGAAGAAGAAGAAGAAGATAAAGAAGAAAGTACTTGAATTTTGACGAGTGTTTGAACAATATTTTAAAATTTGAATTGTTGATGTTTTGTTCACATAATACAGAGACGTAAATTAAGTCAAGTGTGCGGCGCTCACCGAAGAAAGGAACCTAAGGAGCAATAAACTATTTTAAGGTTATGTTTGGGTTATTTTTATTTTTTAAACTTTTAACCCCTTATACAGTACGAAAACCTACCACGTCAGTCATATCCCATGAGTGGGAGTGAGACAGACTTATGCGATTTCCATACTTTCCTATGACTAACGGATAGCTTTTCTTACTGTATATTTAAAAGTTTCTGTGTTTAATTAAATAAATTCTGTAAAACTAAAAGTATAGTTTTTATAAGTTGTAGGTACTTTAGGTCTAATGAAGACTTTAACCGTAATGATTTATATATTTAGAGTAGATCCACTTTTTGTATTCTGATTCCAAAGATTACAAACATAACCTCAAAATTTTTTGCTTCTCTCTCTTTAGGGCGTGTTGCGGATCAATTATTATTAATATTATTTGTGCCTTTTTCAAAAAATTTAAAACGTGATAAGTTTCATTACGGAAGGAGGGTTCAAATTAAGCATTTTTAAAAAAGAAATTGTACATAATTATTATACTGGAGACTGTTAAAAATAATCGTAATCAGAATATTAAAAAGTATTGCAGAGGGAATATTAATAATATTTACAAGGAGTATTAAATGTATTAAATATATTAAATGTATTAAATATATTAAACGTATAAAATATATAAGATAGCAGAAAATCTTGCACAGCAAGCTGGTCGCAAGCTTGCAGTAAAATTATATGCTATTTAGGGTTCGTTGTAAAATACTCTAAAGCCATATTAAAAAAGTCTTATAAAGTGATATTCACAACGTTATTAATAAATTTTTATATTAAAGATATTTTAAAAACTGATTTTAAACCATTTTTTCATGCAAAGGATTAAAAATAATATTAGTAAAAAAAAAATAATAAAAAAATATTTGACAATAATAAAAATGATAATTACTAATTTCATAAATATTAAGAATGTAAATATTATAATAAGGGTAGTATATCAATTGCTCACAATTCAACTGTATGCAAGAAAACTGCATAATATAATAAATTACAAACCAAATTGAAAAAAAAAATTTTAATTTAATTTTAAAACTGCGAAACAAATTTATACTGTCGGAAAACCTAAATATAGGTTCTAAGGAGTAATTAAATTAAATCACATAAAACTTGTTACTCAGGGGAATTCCGGGTCTCTTATTACAAATCTGATATCAGATTTTAAACAATTCAAAATGGCGGATCCAATATGGCGATAAACGTGAAATTTTATAAATAATTGAATTTCAAAACCCGTGCAGAAATCGCCACTTTTGTTCCCGATTACCGCCCTGGCCCCGGTCGGGTTTTCATGATCTGGCCCCGACTTCGTGGCCCCGACCAGGACCAGGCCGGGCTTGCCCAAGGATCTACAAACAGCGCACAATGGGATTTTTTTTAAAATTTACTTTTCAAAACTGTCTACAGCCTACAATTTTTAACCAGTTTCAGTATTCTTTATTTTAAATTAAAGGCGAATAAATTCTTAAGACATCCCTCAAGGCCAATTTTTTAGTTCTTAATTGTTTATAATTTTTATTTTCAATCAAAGTTAACAAATTAATACAATTTTTCAAAAAAGGAGGCTTATTTTCTTATTCCGTTGCTGCATATGATCTGAATCAGTTCAAATTAATACAATATGACCACCGAGATCTCTGACCACCACATCACAATCAATAAAATAGAAATCAATTTATATCAATTGTTATAAACAATATTAATTAACAAATAGTTAACTTTGATTTCTCTCCACTAAAAAATGTTTTTTTTTCACCTTTTCTTTTTAATTTAAGTTCATTTAAAGAATATTTGTCCTTTTTGATTATTAAATAAGTTATTTAAATTGTTATAAACAATATTAAATAACAAATAATTATGTAACTTATGTTCCTGTCCACAAAATAGTTATTTTCGTAACAAGGGCGCAAAATAGGTGATTGCGACGATGGCGAAATGAAGGGAGCGAGGGGACACAATTTCGCGCCCGAGGCGAAGCCGAGGGAGCGAAAGTGTCCCCGAGGTCCCGAAATTTCGCCAAAGTCGTAATCACCTTTGCGCCCATGATGCGAACATAATTTTTTGTCCTAACTGCATGGAAAGTATGGCATAGAGGGCACGCACGATTAAACGCTCATATTAGTTAAAAATTAAGCTCTATATAAACATTATATCGAATGAAGTCTATAATGATAGAAGTTTTAAAATAGAAATAAAAAACAATGTATTCTGGAAACATAGTATTTATTTAGAACGTAGTAATTAATAATTAAACAAAACTGAAACAAGAACTTTTAAAATTGACAATTTTGATAAACGAAATGGGAACAAAACCAAATGTCTCATTATTTTTTTAGAGAAAATAAAAAAAAATTGCAAATTTTTATAGACAAAATAAAACAAGTTGAAAATGTTTGCAGTTTTATAGTCAACACAAAAAGAAAGTCGAAAATGTCGCATTTTAATGAAGAAAATCGAATAATTAACAAGCGGGCGGTAAAGTATTTTCCGCCCGCTCGGAGGTAGGCGAAGCGGGCGGAAAATACTTTACCGCCCGCTGACGTCATACAAGCGGGCGCAAAATACTTTTCCGCCCGCTTCCCCCACTCCCGGGCGTAATGTGTTACTTTGCGCCCGCCTTAAGTGCCCGAAATGACATACTTTCCGTGCAGGTAGGACAAAAAAAATTTTTTTGTCCTACCTGCACGAAAAGTATGTCATTTCGGGCACTTAAGGCGGGCGCAAAGTAACACATTACGCCCGGGAGTGGAGGAAGCGGGCGGAAAAGTATTTTGCGCCCGCTTGTATGACGTCAGCGGGCGGTAAAGTATTTTCCGCCCGCTTCCCCTACCTCCGAGCGGGCGGAAAATACTTTACCGCCCGCTTGTTAATTATTTGATTTTCTTCATTAAAATGCGACATTTTCGACTTTCTTTTTATGTTGACTATAAAACTGCAAACATTTTCAACTTGTTTTATTTTGTCTATAAAAATTTGCAATTTTTTTTTCTCTAAAAAAAATAATGAGATATTTGGTTATGTTTCCATTTCGTTTATCAAAATTGTCAATTTTAAAAGTTCCTGTTTCAGTTTTGTTCAATTATTAATTACTACGTTCTAAATAAATACTATGTTTCCAGAATACATTGTTTTTTATTTCTATTTTAAAACTTCTATCATTAGAGACTTCATTCGATATAATGTTTATATAGAGCCTAATTTTTAACTAATATGAGAGTTTAATCGTGCGTGCCATCAATGCCATACTTTCCATGCAGTTAGGACAAAAAATTATGTTCGCATCATGGGCGCAAAGGTGATTACGACTTTGGCGAAATTTCGGGACCTCGGGGACACTTTCGCTCCCTCGGCTTCGCCTCGGGCGCGAAATTGTGTCCCTCGGTCCCTTTATTTCGCCATCGTCGCAATCACCTATTTTGCGCCCTTGTTACGAAAATAACTATTTTGTCCTACCTGCACGAAAAGTATGTCATTTCGGGCACTTAAGGCGGGCGCAAAGTAACACATTACGCCCGGGAGTGGAGGAAGCGGGCGGAAAAGTATTTTGCGCCCGCTTGTATGACGTCAGCGGGCGGTAAAGTATTTTCCGCCCGCTTCCCCTACCTCCGAGCGGGCGGAAAATACTTTACCGCCCGCTTGTTAATTATTTGATTTTCTTCATTAAAATGCGACATTTTCGACTTTCTTTTTATGTTGACTATAAAACTGCAAACATTTTCAACTTGTTTTATTTTGTCTATAAAAATTTGCAATTTTTTTTTCTCTAAAAAAAATAATGAGATATTTGGTTATGTTTCCATTTCGTTTATCAAAATTGTCAATTTTAAAAGTTCCTGTTTCAGTTTTGTTCAATTATTAATTACTACGTTCTA